TGCATTTGGCAACTAAGAGTCATGGCAGTATATGTTATTTCTTGAGCTCTTATCTTTTCAAAAACAGTGTTTGCAAAGTCACAGTGACAGTTTATGCTCCACAGTCAGCATGAAGCAATAAAAACAGTCAATAGAAAGTCAATAAAGCTGGCACAATAATATAAATATCAAAAAGAAATATAGGAGAATAAAGCAGACAGACGGCACATACAATAAGTAAGACAAATTTGAGTCTTTGTCTCATCAAGGTCGAAGATGAATGTGGCAAAGTAGTCTTTAGCTTGCAGAAGCTGCAGCTTGAGAAATCCTCATGTTGATGTTAGATGAAGGCTTTCAAGTTCAACATTTGTCCTCGGAGCCACTGAAATGTACGATCTGCTTCTTAAACAGATTTACTGATAGTGGATTCATCAGTGAGAATGAGAGGACATTTTGTTCTGTGAATGGTTTCTGTGATAGGACGTACAGCCGTTGCAGGGGCCACTATGCCTTCTGTGTAGCAATTGTTCAAGATGTGGCAAAACATGAAGGTTATTCCTGTCTGTGTTCCCAGCTCTCCTTTTGATAATAGTCTGCAGCTTACTGTTATAAAGGAGGATTTTCTTTTTCTGGGTTGATTATCAAGACTATTGGTCCGCCTAATTGTCAATCACTCTGGTGATATGTGATGTAAGGCCGTCGTACATGCTCGTCAAACAAGACCAGAGTGTTTTTGGGAGATTCTTTCACACAATGGCATGCACTGAAATCACAGGTAGGGCTTCCCACTGATGCTTCAGTTGCGACGTTTCTACTCAACAGGTAAAAATTGGTATTCTATTTAGAGAAATCTATTTCAGATCACTTCCATTATAAGTTATCTACATTTATATTGTTTGACAAAGTGGAAAAGGTGCAAATCTTCTTGGAAAGTGAGCTTGTGTGAGTGATGCCGACAGTGACTTGTGCATGTCTCTCGCTCACGCTTTTGTAGGCATTCCCTCCTGGGAGCAGGTTGAGCGTTGCGTCTGTGCTTTAGGTTTGAGTACTTTGATATCCATGTGCTCTGTCTTGTTGGATGATGCAGGGAGTCTGATTATGGTCATGAAGTGGATCAGGTTTAGGAAGTCCAAAGTTTCCACATCACCCTGAATGGTCTGACTGCTTTAGGCAAGGCAAGGCTAGGCAAGTTTATTTATATAGCGCAATTCATACACAAGGCAATTCAAAGTGCTGAACAAAACAAGAAAGCATTAAAATCATAAATAATCACAGAACATTAAAAAGAAAGATAAAAATATAAAATCCCTCAGTTGTATGCACAGCTAAACAGAATTGTCTTTAACCTGGTTTTAAACATTGTCAGAGAGGAGACCTGTCTCACATCTTCAGGAAGACTGTTCCAGATTTTAGCAGCATGAATCTGAAAAGCAGCCTCCCCATGATTAGAGAGCGCTACCATGAGTTTGAACTACATTCAATCCAAGCATGTTCAAGATCACCACCATCAGTAAATAATCAAGTCAAAGCCAAAGGATGCATATACTCAGGCCATTTGCAAGCCTTATACATAAGTCCAGGTCAATCAGACAACCTCTCCACAGACTCACAGACACACAAACAGAGATTCCTTACATCAATAGTTAGATGGCTATAAAGAAGGGATACAAACCATTTCATGATTGATAATAAACAGCAGGCAAAAAGCTACTTCTTCTAAATGTTATTATAGGCCTTAAAAATGATAGCAAATACGTTTTCCCAAATGAAATGCAATGGTAAAGTGTGAAGATGGGTACGGTCCTTCACAACATGGGCCTTCACCCTGATCTAACCAACAATGACACAGGAAAGGTTTGGCTGTATTTGGATTGCATCACCAGTGAATTTATCAGCACGTGTGCATAAGATGATGTTTACAGGTTATTTTTGTAGGGTCATGATCCAGACTGAAGAAGAAGCTTGACCTAGAGCCTCAGATGAGCCTCAGCAGGAGAAGTCATCAGCACGATCACTTTCACTGCATTCTCACGACAGACACACTCTTGTTTCTATCTTTGTGAGGATAGGATCGATTCCCAAACTGCCACCCTACTGCTATATTAGGTCTCATCTACACAAATTTGATAATAATCGTGTATATTTTTGTGACTAATGGCAAATGAAAAGATACCTTGTATTGTTGTTTCTTTAGGTAAAACAAGAAATGTTTTGCTTGTTTCACAGACAAATCTTAAGACAGTCCAAATGTACTCAAGTCAGCACAAGAATACTTTCTTTTAGTTCTCACCAACACTTTTAAACATGTTGTGGAGTGTTTGCCAAAAAAACAGTTTCCTTTCCAAACACACAAATGCATTTGTTTTTACATTGACGGACATTGCAAAAAGATTGAGCAGTAAAAAAGATCGTTGGATTATAAAGACAAACTAATCAAATAAATACTTTGCTTAATACTCCAGAGCATTCGTCAGCCACTGTGCAGTCACAAACACATACAGTGTGATATACAGGAGAATGTCAGCAATGCACACTCCTGATAAACTACACAGATGGACACAAATAGAAAAGAACATAATGTTAAAATACCTGCAGTCTAATTATGATCAAATATTGTACTACAAAGTGCACATATTGTACTACAAAGTGCTCATATTGTACTACAAGGTGCACACATGTAGAAGCCTAGGGTCACGTGCAGACAGGCTGATCACGTTGCGCTTTAGCCCCATCTTCAGTTACCTCAGTCGGGGCTCAGATCAGCGCGGGTCCCATGTCACCACATGTGTTTATGCCTGTTTGCATTAGTTTACAGAGTTCACCTGCCATAAAACAGCACCTTCTGAGAGAATCTGCTAAGTGCGAGGTGGACAGCTCTGACCCACATAAACACTATGCCATATGAGCTTTAATGATGGGCATGCAAGCAGAGTGGAGAGAAGTCACATTTAAGACAATGTTTATTCTCTCCTACTGAGTTTGGTTTGAGCCATTTTAAAGATATTTGAGGTACTTTGCCCATGTTTTGTACTGTTAGTTGGCATGACAACAGTGATAGATAACAATAAATATTTCACCTAAATAGTGCACATGTACTTTTAGGGGGGTTCTCTAATATTCTATTCTCTGTGTCATTTGCCTGGGATAAAAAAAAGCATTATAGCATAGTTTTATATTTTGTTTTTTTGTCTTGCCTGTTAGTTATGCATCTGTCGGCGGGCTTGTGTATTTTGTTTTGAGGTTGCCTGGAGGGTGGGATTTGTCATTGCGTTATGTTGTGTTGTGTGTCTTGTGTGTACATGTCTGGTGAGTGTCGGAAAAAAAAAAAAAAGCATTATTAATACTTTTAATTGAAGATGTATAAGAGATATACTGTATATGAGAGGAGCCTGATGAAGGTTTGAATATGTTGATGGATCCACCACCAGAAACTCTGTACTTGTGCACCTTTAAGTTGATTTGAAAGGTTCTCCGAGTACTCAGAAATCATGAGGGGCACCTGTTTTTTTTTTCAGACCGACTGCCTGTCTCTTTAAAGTTGGGTTGAGGGCCAGGGATGTGTCACCAATTAGATTATATGATATTCATCCAAATAGATATTGTGTTAATTATTATTGCTAAATCAATATGATAAATCCAAAAATCAATACAATAAAATTACATAGTACATAAAAGCCTCAGTGTGTCAAGAAGTCCCCTGATGATACCCACCAGTTAGATCTGTGGAAAGTAAGAATTCCTGTTCAGACACAACATTCAATAAAAACGTACGTATATGCCAAATAGCGGCACAGTGGAGTTCTTTTATATTTCTTTATTTGTAATTGGTTATAATCAGTGGGTTTGAAGAAAGCTGATTGCTGATTTGTATTCTCATAAAAGTTCATTTCTTTATAGCTCAGTGCTTCACTTCTCTTGTCGCTCTCCTCATAATTATAGACTCGCTGTTGCTGTTGAATTGTTACAGGAATAACTTGGCCTTGGCAGATAACAAAGATATCTGAGAGAGAGACAGAGTGATAGGCTCCGGGGGAACAGGACTTCTGTCTTCCCAAACTCTGCCTATAGGGCTGGGAATGACATTTCCACACGATTTGAGACAACACAGCCATAATACCACGATTTAGTCATTCGTACAATTGTCAATAGCCTATTGCACAAGTTTTTCTGCATTATAATTATAAAACAATATATGTGGTCACCATGTTAGATTAAGTCAAGTAACTTTTTCATTACGTTACATAGTTTTGATACACTTTTTACTTGTTTTATCTTTGAATATTTGGATTCGGGCATTTGTTTGGCTCATATATTTATTTTTACTTATCAATAAATGGTTTAGTAATAATAATGCTAAGTATTTATCACACTTTTCATTACTCCCAAAGACGCTGGTAGACGATTGTTTAGCCAATCATTCATTCACACATTAGACAAGGTTATGTGGGGGAAGTAGTTTAGCACTGTTCTCCCATCACAGTATAGTGACCAGGCCCTGCCCTGCTTAGCTTCAGAGATCTGACAAGCTCTCACATGCAGGTGGCGCCACATTTTTATAATTTATTCATCCTAATTGAATCATGTATGTACATAACAGGAACAGTATGCAACACAATTTGGGTAAACTTGTAAAAATCTAGTGTCATTGGAGATCTTAGATTTGCTTGTTTTTATGCTTAAGTTACATTTTTGTATTATTTGTTTTAGTACTGAATTGTTTTTCATGTATCTTGTGTTGTGTGCTCCTCATTTCCAATGTTCTGTAACTTGTGATGATCTATTTTCTAATCAAGAAATCAATCTTTGATAAATCCATGGTCACACTCTTTAGATTGTCATTTCTTTTTACCTAAGTTCAATTTGTGTAAAAAGGAAAACTACATTTGTACTTACTCTATATTCACTCAAGACATTGAAGTCATTACTGAATCTTTGTTGTATTTTCTATGTTAACACCGCCACCTACTGGCCATGCTTATCATCACAGATCACTCACTGTTTGTTTATAGTTACGATAAAAAATGGCGGCCTTAGCAACCGCAGACGACGCAGGACAACACGGCGCGGTACTTATACAGTTATTATACACTTTCATACTGGTTTCAATCTTTTAAAAGGCGCTTTAATAAGTTATTTGTGTTTTACTTTATGTAGTGGTGTTATTAGCATTAAATGGATATTGTAATTATGACCGGAGAAAGATTGCTATCTATACACTGTTTTAAAACATTTGATACATCTAAACATTTGATTAAAAAGAAGGCAACACATCACCTGTATATGTTTTCACTTTCGTCCATCATGCTTTTGATTCAGAAACCAGACCTTAGGAAGACCTGCATTGTCTCCCTGTTCCTCACATTATTGGCCAATAGACCTTTTATTGGTTCTTTTTTGTGTGTAGCTTTAATGTTGATTGTTTTAACTGATCTCAGGTGCGTTTGGTTAAGTTTTCAGACAACCGTCAATGTAAAACGTTCAGACACTGCCCTGACAGGTGCCTTTACTCTCATCTTCAACTGTTGATGTGATTTGAAAGCACTTTGATCATTGTGTGAGAAAAAACAAGGCAAAAGTGGCAAAAGTTCTTAAAACCATTTAATATTCTATAACTCTAACACATTTCATATAACACTTCTTTCATCTGGACTTGAAGGATTGTAGACAAGTTACAAATGTATGTTCATGGTCTTTGTTTCAGGGCGGTGATGGTTTAAAGCTGCAGACATGTGCTTCACCAGCCTCTCACCACCATGTCGACGACAAACAGGCCAGACTTAAGAGTGCAGAGTTCTTCCGAGAGGCTGAGAGCATCAGGCGCCTGTAAGTGTGGATGAAATCTTGTCAAAGGTTAAAGTAATCATAAAAAGTCATTTATTATTTTGTGGAAATTTATCGCACTGCTGTGAATGCCTTATTTCATAACAGATTTGTACGTACTTAAAGAACAACCTATGAAAGACAGTGAAATAATATTATATTCTCTTCCTATACTGGAGGTGGCTGCTAACACAAATAACAATGAATGAGAAAAGCTATCAACATCTGTTTGTGAGATAATTGTCCAGTATTTACTATTAGTTTTTCAGAACACCCAGTATGATGAGGAACAGATATATTCTATTTGGTCCTTTCTTCTTTTGTTAACATAAGCCTTTCCCTTTTTGTTGACAGGATTGAAAAGCTTCAGAAAGAGCGTCCTGTCGTCTCTCAGTGCAGAAAGAATGGCTGGACTGATATATGTCCTGAACTTGAAGAATATGAGAAAGTCCTGGACAGAGAAAGAAAAGCAGAGAGTTTGTGTTTGATACTTACTCAAATATTATAGTGCAAAACCTTCAGATGAATACTACTGTTTAATGTTTCATGTGATGCAGACATGGCAAGTTTGTTGAACAATGTGGTTATATACTGTAGAGCACAATGAATAATTGACAATAGGCACATTTTCTTTATCCACTAGAACTGTAATGGATCAAGGCAAAAGAACCCAGGAGCAGACTCTGAAGAGGTTCAGATGGAATTTTATTGAAGCCGGTTTGGAGCTAGATGGGGTAGGGCCAGTGCAGGGACGGAACGGAGCCAGGGCAGGACAGGGCAGGACAGGGCAGGACAGAGCAGGACAGAGCAGATCCAGGGCGGGAAGGAGCAAAACCAGGGTAGGGCAGAACAAAACCGGGACAGGACGGAGCAGGGGCAGAGCAGGACGGAGCTGGAAAAGCAGGTGGCTGGAGAACTGGAAAATAAGGCAAAAAAACCTGGTTTGAATGTTATATTTCGAGCTAGTCAAAAGAACGCTAGAAACGTGACACTGACTGGCAGAGTTTTACGATCTGGCACAGCTGAGCTCACTGCAGTGGTTCTTGAATCCTTCCTGCTGATGATGAGAGTGAACTCAGCTGTGGAGTTCCTCCAGCACACCTGTTCACATCCTGCAACAGAAAGGGAGGGGGAGGGAAGGCCAGCCTCTCAGGGAGGGGCTGAAGTGGCCAGAGGTGCTGGAAGGGCTGTGACAGTACCCCCCCCTCTACGGACGCCCCCTGGCGTCCTATCCCGCTTCTCAGGATGATCACGGTAGAAGTCCCGGATCAAGGAAGGGTCCAACACATTCCTGCGCGGAACCCAGCACCGCTCCTCGGGGCCGTAACCCTCCCAATCCACCAAAAACTGAAGACCACGACCCCGGCGACGAACGTCCAAAATACGCCGAACAGTATAGGCAGGGTGGTCATCGATCAACCTAGGAGGAGGGGGAGGAGGAACAGAAGGGCACAAGGGGCTGGACCGGACAGGCTTGATCATCGACACATGAAAGGTAGGGTGTACTCTCAAGGAAGCTGGTAGCTTAAGACGCACCGCCGACGGGTTAATCACCGTCTCTACCTCAAACGGTCCAATAAACCTGGGAGAGAGCTTCTTAGACTCCACCTTGAGAGGCAGATCCCGAGTGGAGAGCCACACCTTCTGCCCAGTGACGTAAGGCGGAGCGGGCACACGCCTACGTTTGCCTGGCTCTGGGACCGCCTAGAAGCAGACCCAAAGAGCGGACCGAGCTTGTTTCCAAGTCTGGCTACACCGCCTCAGATGAACCTGGACTGAGGGAACAGCAAGTTCTCGCTCCTGGTCTGCGAATAAAGGTGGTTGGTAGCCGTTACAACATTCAAATGGCGACATGCCCAAAGAGGCGTTCACCTGGGTATTATAAGCATACTCCACCCAGGGCAGATGTGAACTCCAACTGGACGGACTCCCGGATGATACACAGCGTAACGCCACCTCCATCTGCTGGTTTGCTCCCTCAGTTTGGCCGTTAGTTTGGGGGTGATATCCAGAAGAGAGGCTGACATTGATGTTAAGAGCAGAACAAAATGCACGCCATACTTGAGAGGTAAATTGGGGACCTCTGTCAGAAACTATATCCAACGGGATTCCGTGCAGCTTAAAGACATGATCCACCAACAGGTCGGCCGTCTCTCTGGAGGAAGGCAGCTTAGTGAGGGGAATAAAGTGTGCAAATTTAGAGAACCTGTCAACAATCGTAAGAACCACAGTTTGCCATTGGACGGAGGTAGCCCGGTCACGAAGTCCAGAGAGATGTGAGACCATGGACGGCTAGGAATAGGTAAAGGTAGGAGATACCCATAAGGGGGTTTATTAGAGGTCTTGTTTTGCGAGCACACTGAACATGCTGACACAAACTCCTTGGTGTCCTTCACCATGGATGGCCACCAGAATCTGCGGCGAAGGACTGCAAGAGTGCGAGCAACCCCCGGATGGCAAGTTAAAGGGGTACAATGAGCCCATTGAAGAACATCAGACCGGACTGAATCTGGAACAAACAAGGAACCAGTTGGACCATTGCCAGGATCTGGATGGGCTTGCTGGGCTAGTCTGACACGTGATTCAATTTCCCAGGAAATGGTGGCAACAAAACGAGAGGCAGGTAAAATGGGATCGCTTTCTGTTACAGGACTAGAAGTGGAAAACACACGAGACAGGGCATCTGGCTTAAGATTTTTAGAACCGGGGCGATAGGTCAAAGTAAAGTTAAACCGATCAAAAAATAGGGCCCGTCTAGCTTGCCTGGAGTTAAGTCTCTTAGCTGTCTGGATATAGGATAGGTTCTTATGATCTGACCAGACTATAAAGGGAATATTTGAACCCTCCAACCAGTGGCGCCACTCTTCCAGAGCAAGTTTAATTGCCAAGAGCTCACGATTGCCAACATCATAATTCCTCTCAGCAGATGTAAGCTTACGAGAGAAATATGCACAGGGATGCAGCTTCCCATCAGGGGGACAGTGTTGCGAGAGCACTGCACCTACCCCAGTGTCCGAAGCGTCGACCTCTACAACAAATTGGAGGTCTGGGTCAAAACTGGAGCGGTCGTGAACTTGTGCTTCAAATCGCTAAAAGCAAACTCTGCTTCAGGGGTCCAAGTAAAGGGGACAGTGGAAGAAGTGAGAGCAGTTAGAGGGGCAGCTAAACGACTGTAGTTGCGTAAAAACCTCCGGTAGAAGTTAGCAAACCCCAAGAAACGCTGCAGCTCCTTACGACAGGAAGGTGATGGCCACTCTCTGACAGCCTTCACCTTGGTTGGGTCCATCTCCACTTGACCCCTTTAGATGATGTACCCTAAAAAGGCAACAGAGGGGCATGAAATTGACACTTCTCAGCCTTGACAAACAATTTATTTTCAAGGAGCCTCTGGAGAACCATCTTAACATGGGCTTCGTGTGTCTCAATGTCTTTGGAAAAAATCAAGATGTCATCAATGTAGACAAAAACAAATCTTCCAATCATGTCCCGTAAAACATCATTAACCAGGTTTTGAAACACTGCCGGTGCATTAGTCAGTCCAAAGGGCATCACCAAGTACTCGAAGTGGCCTAATGGGGTGTTAAATGCGGTCTTCCACTCATCTCCTTCCCTGATGCGAACAAGGTGGTAAGCGTTGCGAAGATCCAACTTTGTGAAAACTGTAGAACCACAGAGAGGAGTGAAGGCAGAGTTGATTAACGGGAGTGGATATTTGTTTTTAACGGTTATCTTGTTCAGGCCTCGGTAATCAATACACGGCCTGAGTGACTTGTCCTTAGCAACAAAGAAAAAACCAGCACCCACCGGTGAGGAAGATGGTCTAATGATCCCTGCCGCCAGCGATTCTTGAATGTACCTCTCCATAGTCTCCTGCTCCGGAGTCGAGAGGTTGTAAAGACGACTGCTCGGCAATGGAGCCCCCGGGAGAAGCTCGATGGCACAGTCATACGGCCGGTGTGGTGGCAGCGACAGGGCGTGGTCTTTACTGAACACAGACCCAAGATCATGATAAACAGAAGGAACACAGGACAGGTCAGGGGTTTCTGGGACTCTTACAGACCGAGAACAAAAACGAGATAAGGCAGATTGTAAACAGTTAGAATGGCAAAATGTGCTCCAGGAAACGATTTTACCAGATAACCAGTCTATGTGAGGGTTATGCAGCTTCAACCAAGGTAAGCCCAAAACAAGAGGAGAGTGGTTACAATCAAATATGTGGAAACTTATTCTCTCCTTGTGGTTACCTGAGAGATGTAGGTGAACTGGAAGAGTCCTTTCAGTAACCCTGGCTAATACTTGGCCGTTGAGCGCCTTAGCTTCCAAGGGTGTCTCGAGGGTCTCTAGTTTAAGTCCCAGCTGGAAGGCAACCTCACGATCCATAAAGCTCTCATCAGCTCCCGAGTCGATAAGAACAGGCAGAGACAAGTTGCGGTCCAATAAAATTAGCGTAGCCTCAAGGTTAGCTTTAGTGGGAGATGAGTACTTAGTGTGGCTCAGCAGTATGTCTCCCACTACTGCTGAGCCGGGCCTTTTGCTGGCCGGACAGGACAGGAGGATATATAATGTCCAAACTGACCACAGTAGAGGCAGCTCCGTGTGTTGAAGCGGCGTTGTCTTTCTTCCGGATCCAGATGGGCACGCCCCAACTGCATTGGTTCGGATTCAGACTGGCGTGGTATAGGCGGAGGAGCAGGATTGTGAGTGGGTGTTAAAGGGAAAGGTAAGGGGAGGGCTCTACCAGGGGTGGCAGTCCTTCCCGCTCTTTCACGTCGACGCTCTCTTAACCGGTTATCCATCCGGATAGCTTGTTCCAAAAGGTCGTTTAGGTTATTGGGTTCATCACGACAGGCCATCTCATCCTTCAGGGAGTCAGATAAGGCATTAATGAATGCCCCCTGAAGAGCCTCTTCGTTCCATCCGCTCTCAGCGGCTAGCGTACGGAACTCTATAGCCAGCTCTGCCACACTCCGATTTCCTTGGCGAAGAGAAAGCAGCCTCTTTGTAGCCTCCCTCCCGCTAACTGGGTGATCAAAAACTTGCCTCATGCTTGCTGTAAACTCAGAGTAGGATGAACAAACTGAGGTCTGTCTCTCCCAAATAGCCGAAGCCCAACTCAGAGCATTACCACGTAGACAGCCAATGAGATAACAGATCCTGGCACGGTCATGTGAATACGTCAAGGGTTGTTGTTCAAAAATGAGAGAACATTGGGTTAAAAAAGACTTACATGTTCCCAAGTCTCCACTGTATGGGGCCGGTGGAGGCACATAAGCTTCCCTCATAGGCGTTGGAGGCGGCGGGGCAGAAGAGGCAGCAGGCATGCTGGGAGTAGTGGGAGCTTGAGGAGAGAGGGCTGCTATCTGTGTACGGAGGCTGGCGAGGCTAATAGAAAATTCCTTCATGTGTTCCATTAGCGCTTGCAAGGTGTTATCATGCTGTTCCAAAAGAGATGACTGAGCACCCAGAGTCCGGTTGAGCTTCTCAGTGTCTGCTGGGTCCATGTTCTCTGGCCAGATTGTACTGTAATGGATCAAGGCAAAAGAACCCAGGAGCAGACTCTGAAGAGGTTCAGATGGAATTTTATTGAAGCCGGTTTGGAGCTAGATGGGGTAGGGCCAGTGCAGGGACGGAGCGGAGCCAGGGCAGGACAGGGCAGGACAGGGCAGGACAGAGCAGGACGGAGCAGGACGGAGCAGATCCAGGGCGGGAAGGAGCAAAACCAGGGTAGGGCAGAACAAAACCGGGACAGGACGGAGCAGGGGCAGAGCAGGACGGAGCTGGAAAAGCAGGTGGCTGTAGAACTGGAAAATAAGGCAAAAAAACCTGGTTTGAATGTTATATTTCGAGCTAGTCAAAAAGGCCGCTAGAAACGTGACACTGACTGGCAGAGTTTTACGATCTGGCACAGCTGAGCTCACTGCAGTGGTTCTTGAATCCTTCCTGCTGATGATGAGAGTGAACTCAGCTGTGGAGTTCCTCCAGCACACCTGTTCACATCCTGCAACAGAAAGGGAGGGGGAGGGAAGGCCAGCCTCTCAGGGAGGGGCTGAAGTGGCCAGAGGTGCTGGAAGGGCTGTGACAAGAACAGCCTTTTGAGTAGAGGCCAAAGTGATTTTAAGGATTATGCCGCATAAAATTTTAATTCTACCTCAGATAATTACAAAATATAAACAATTTATAAATGTTTTAATGTTTTATTCAGTATATATTTCATCTTTTCCTTTACAGATTACTTTCCCAAAATTGTTTATTTTTGTGATGTTATGTAAACCATTCTTATGTAAATATTTTCTTTCTGTCTTCTATAGAGGCAAACTTAAAAAAGCAGTTGTCAAAGATCCAAAATGGCGTTCGTAAATTCCAGAGGCAGTTGACCGACGTGAAGCCATCAGCTGAGTGTGAGCACAATACACTTTTGTACTATTTTGCACAAGGGCATATAAACTTGGCAGGAATGAACCAGACAGAGACGAATCGTGGTGCGCCAAACTCTGGAAGCTTATTTAACATTCTCTCAAGTTCCAGTGGTTCCAATTGTTTCTTTCTCTCAGACAAAATGGAGTCAGTACACAGTTTATATAGTCATTGTCACGTCACACATCGAAAGACATACGTGTCACACAGAGACAGTCACATCATAGTCAAAATAATCAGTCCTTGTAGAGTTCTGCACGTAGGCCATATTGCTATCTAATCCTAACAAACTTATTACAAGAACTCACTGTAAATGTCTTTATATTGTGCACCTGAAACTGTTTGGATTGTGCATTAATTTTACATGCAGAGGTTTATTTTGATTCTCAGTAATAGAAAAATTGAAAAAAATCATGTCAGAAGTGGAAACCTTAATCAACAGCCTAAAAGAGGACCAGCGTCGCAAGTAAGAGCGGTTTTACACAAATGAAAGTGAACACTGCAAGAATGTTTGTTATCAGATGATTTTTAGGTTTGAAGAACTTCTAAAAGAAGAAAGAACCCACAGACAAGAAATCAGTGCTTATGAAAAGAAGATTGAAAATTGGAATCATGCGGTAAAAACGGAACGTCGGCCGCACATTTCAACTGTCTCAAAGGTATACCGTCTCTCAGTGTTTATTTTAGCATCAAGTCCTCATATTTCAGAGTGTAATCCACTATATATTTATATTTTAACACATTTTTCTGAAGAATTATCATGTGCCTGGAATTATTGCTGCATTTGCGTTAAATCATAACAACAATTTGTTTTGTAGAATCTCAAAGTCTCTCAATATTTAACAGTATTAAATAATCTGTATGATATTTACGTGGCTTGGGTCGTCAAACAAGGAATTATGGGCTTGCACAACTGCATATTATTTCTCCATGATGATTTTTCTTTTCATGTTAATGTTTGTTACATATATTTTTGCCTTTTTTCTTTTGCTTACTCTTACTTTCTTAGACCAAACTGCAGGAGCGAGACCTCCCCTCTGAGATCCGAGCTCTTGAATACTTTCTGAACAGGACAGGAGGCTCCAGTGGAGGCTGGGATCAGTTTGACCACCAGGCATTTCTAAAGGTCCTGTTATGTAGTTTTGTGAATAAAATACATATTGTTTTTTGTAAAATTGCTTAAGAAAATTGATGTTGACTGTCTCTGTAACCCTCTAGGTTTGGACAAAGTTCCGTGGTCAGCCAGCGTTCAGGAAGGAGGTGAAATTGTACTTGCCCAGTAAAACAGAGGAAGAGATAAAGCAGCATGAAGAGTGGTACAGAGAACTGGTTCATCTGCAGGATATGAAAAAAGAGGTAAGAGACACATTTCTAATTGAAGTTGTCTTTTAAAAATTGCTTTATTTGACTCTAAAATATGAATGAATAATTCTCTGTACATCAGGCAATCCAGCGATGGAAGACTTGTCGGCAAATGCAGCGCGAGAACAAGATCCAGAGTCAGGAGGAGTTGGAGAAAGCCAAACGCAAGGAGAGATCAGCGTTCATCCAGGCCCAAAGTGAAAAGTGAGACTATTTTCAGCCCAAAAGGAAACGTCATACTATACTCCTCACATAAATTAGTGCTGCTTTGGAAACAGGGAAGTATTCATATTAACGTTTATTAATATTGTGCTTTTTAGAAAGTTGCTTTACAATTCATAATGATGAGCATATTATAAATTCATGAAATACACATTTTAGTTTTGTTTAGTTAAGCTTTGTGAAGTAAAAACTGTTTTCTTAGAGTTTATGACTGAACCATAGCCTCCTCTATTTGTGTTTTTGTGTTTATGCACACGCACAAGTCGGGATAATATTTTATTATGACACATAGTATTTTTATTATCACCACAATAGAGAACCAGCAGAGGTTTATGTGGTAGTCTGACCCCTGGAGCTCACGGTGCCAGAACATAGTGTGGCTCTTCACAGGACAACACATGAAGATTGTGGCTCCTACTCTCTGACCAGTCCCCTCCATTACTATCATTTTAAATGCTTGGTTAATGGCTATAGTTTTTGCGTCTGTTCACTCAATCCTTACGCTAATATTTCTGCTGCTTCCATTCCACCTCAGAGCAGAAGAAGAGAAGAGGGAGAAGGCTTTGCAGCTGGAGAAGTGGAAGAAAGAACTACAGATGAGAGAGGAAGAGGAGCAGCAGATGAGGCTGGCTGAGGAAATAAAAAGGCAGCGACGCACAAAGGTCTGAAAGATGTAAAGGCACAAATCATGCTGCAAAATGTATGACTTTTGTTCAACATATACGTACAACTTGATAGAGTGTTAAAACGATCGATAATAAGATAAATACATTGTACCAAACATGTGTCAGCTTCGGGAAGATGCCAGGACGCTGAAAAAGGACACGTTTTGTACGTTTTTCCCCTCTGTGGGACGAATAAAGATTCTCTTATCTTATATAGATAAAACACACACACGGTCACACACACATGACACACAAAAATGCATCTGATTGAGGCAGTTAATCCTGTGTTGTCATAAGCAAATGGTAGAAAATCTTTCCAAAATATGTTTTTTTTTTCTTTCACCAGGAAGAACGTCGTCGTCAATTAGAAGTCAAACTGATGATAGAGGAGCAGCTGCGGCTGAAAAGAGAGGAAGAGGAGGAGGAGCAGAGGAGGAAGAACGAAAATGAAATGAGAGAGCATGAGGAGCGAAGGAGAGAGGCCACAAGGGAGATCAAGAAGCTGAATGAAAGGGTATCAGTATTTGATACACTATACATTATACTTGTATAAAACATTTATACACTTTATGGTATGTTCTTTTAATTAATTATAATTCAGGAGTAATAATTATATTACTCTTGAATTATAAAATTGTCTTTCTTTGTCATTTTCTGAGCCATAGCTTAAAATAGCGAGTTTAAATTTAATTGGAAACTGTACACAACTGTTCACTTGTTTATTGTCTATCTGCAGGACCTGCATAAAGTAGAGGCAAAGTATCATGAAAAACAAATGCAGAAGCAACAGGAAGAAGAGAGACAGAGAAGAATTGTTTCAAAACTACGGGAAAAAGTAGAAACTGCATTTTATTGTGACATAAAACAATGTTTTTCTTCAAATGTTGAAAAGATTAAAGGATACACAAAAGTTATATTTTAACAGATTTATTGATCTGACAATATTTAATTTCAAACAGGTGGACGGTCATGTTAGCAAAGACCCGTCTAGGCTGACTCGTCCCACTAAAGGATGGGAGGAACGGTTGAAAAACATTGGCCCTTCAGGAGGAGGGCCTGTTCTGCACATGTTTCACAGGTAATCACTGAATCAAAGGCGTTTATATATTTGCATTGTATTCTGTATATGCAATGATACATATAGTAAAATAATGTATTTCTCGTCTTTGTTACAGAGCCGTGCCCACTTGGCGTCAAGGGCTGTAATCTACTTTTTTATGCTGCATTGTATGTTTTAATTCTGTGTAAATGAAATGTGCCTTTCATGCATCTGGTAGATTCTGCTGTGATGTTAGGCTATACATTTATGCAGTCTATGACTGTACACAAATAAATGTATTTGATATTTTTGTTTTAAGCTTTTATTTTGTGAACTTATATTTTGAAAAACGGGAGCTATACCGGAAACACTTTCAGGGTGCGGAAACAAAGATGGCGGAAGAAGAGAACCAGTGTGAAGAATTTGAACAAATAGACTTTTTAAGAGACAGGCATGTGCGATTCTTTCAGAGAACACTGCAGATTTTACCCGAGAGATATTCTTCACTAGAAACCACCAGGTAAATTTATCTCATTTGTTTGATCTGCGCCTTTTCGCATTTTGAGGCTAGTGATGCTACAATCTCACTAGCATCAGAGCTACAGCAGCCTCCCATCCAGCTCAAACAAACCAGCACCCGGTTAGTTTGTTATCACCCTATCCTTTCGAGGAAGTTTGCAAAAAACCCTTTTAATATCATTCTGGAGGATATGGTATACATAGGTGTGTGTTTCATAGTTTTTTACACAGATTTTTACAGCCCAATCTTTACAGTGAAAGTCTTCCAGAAAAGATTACTCATCTTTTCCTAAGTACAACATGTGAGGAGTAAATAGTTAAATAATGTATGTATTTTTATTCTGTTGGGGGGAAAAGTGTATAAATTTTCATCCAAATACATGTACCTCCATCAAGTTTTAGTAGGGAGTTTTAGTACCAAAGTGCTTTGAACCACCACTGAAAGTCATTACGTCATCATTATATGAGGTGTTTTAACCTAATGTTGTGATCAGTTAAAACAGTGGTCTATCATCTTTACTTGATCAGCTATTTTTGACCTGGATTCTAACAGATTTTAACTGCATCCATTTAAAGTGCCGCCTCCCATGTTTATTCCTGACTCTGAGCACCATCAGGGAGCCAGTCCCTGTGCTGAGCCGGTTCATATGGCACTAACATGTCACAGATGTACTTGGTCGTTTGGTGCAAGACCATGGACTCTTCCACAAGCAGAGCTGCTATAAAGTCTATTTTCTGAGCCACAGAGCCACAAATTACAAGCCAAATGCTTCCACTAGACAAAGTCCAAATTAGAAAATCATATACATGTTCCATACAAACTTTAAATGGTTGTTTTTATTGCGAAATCTTTGTGGCGGCAGGTTGACCATCGTGTTTTTTGCTCTGTCCGGGCTGGATATGCTGGACGCTTTGGACGTGATCGATAAAACTTCATTGATTGAATGGATTTACTCACACCAGGTTCTGCCAACTGAAGATCGTAAGTGTCTCTCGTATGCACATGATCTGATGCCAAGTGCAATAGATTAATGTGAGATTAGACGAGCGCAGTTTAATGGATAATATCACAATTGTTAAATGCAATATTTGAGTATCAAAAATACAAAATAATGGCAGTCTTTTTGAGAGGATTTAACCAAATAACTGAAACTTTATTTGAACAAAAAGCCTTAGAATCTAGTTTTTGAATAGACTGAAATAAAATAGCACACCTTTCACATTTCTGTCAAATAGCACTATCAAAAATGCCAGTATAACCTGTCAATAGAATAGCAGTGTTTCCCACACATAGACTAATCTGTGGCGCACCGCCACAGATTAGAGACCGCCCGCCACAAATTGCGTTTCGTATTATTATATATATATTTTTTTTGTTACGCTATTTAAAACATGCATCGTCTAGTGCCGCCGCAGCGGTCAATTTGACAGCGGGGAGGGGGGTTTAAAATGTGGCGGCCCTTCGTAACTCTCACTCAAGCTACGCGTCTCTCCCACATACAGAGACCTACACACACACAGCCCCTCCCCTTCGTGCACACCGCGTGTCTCCGTCTCCATCAGCGATCATCGCTGTAAGCAGCTGTGTCTATTAATTTACCGCGGTAAAGTGGCCCGCATCTTTCAGCTCTATGAACATGCGGCCAGCATCGGGGAAAAGACGGTGCGCGTTTTGTTGAGAACTTACGGTAACAGCGGAACGTCCTTTCGGAGTCACCCATTTTTATCGAACAGAAAGCGCCCTGGGGTCTGGGAGACACGTTTTTGTGATTAAAACCTTATAGAGATGCCACCCGGCACACATAGCACCAGCCCCCTACGATTCCTCCTGCAGATTGTGAGTCCTCAGGAGGATAGCCACTCTATTGTTTACATGTATAAAGTACACAATTTGGTCCGCTAGTGCAATTTTCAAGTATTGTAACTATTTACTGGAATAAGGTGTGCGACTAATTTCACTTGACTCATACCCTTATTATTGCCCTCTGCCACTGTACCAAAGACCAGAAACTTTTACTGTAGAAATATTGAGAAATATTGAGGTAAAGTAGCCATTTTGGTCCAAAATACCTCCAAAATAGTCAAAACATGTCACTTTTGATCTACTGTAACTTTTTACTGTAAAAAGGTGTGCGACTAATTTCACTGGATTCATGACCTCAAGATTGTCCTCTACCACTGTACCAAAGACCAGACACTTTTACTGTAGAAATATTGAGAAATATTGATTTAAAGTAGCCATTTTGGTCCAAAATAGCCTAAAAATGGTCAAAACATGTCACATTTGATCTACTGTAACTTTTTACTGTAAAAAGGTGTGCGACTAATTTCACTGGATTCACGACCTCATGATTGCCCTCTACCACTGTACCAAAGACCAGAAACTTTTACTGTAGAAATATTGATTTAAAGCAGCCATTTTGGTCCAAAATAGCCTAAAAATTGTCAAAACATGTCACTTTTGATCTGCTGTAACTTATTACTGTAAAAAGGTGTGCGACTAATTTCACTGGATTCATGACCTCAAGATTGTCCTCTACCACTGTACCACTGTACCCCACTCCCCCCCCCCCCCCGCCGACCACCACACATTGCCTTCAAACCTGTGGGAAACACTGAATAGATCAATTTAGATAGGCTACAACATTATTGTTTAATATTGTCCAAATAGACCAAAAAATATTTCATTTGTGTCAACATTTTATCAAAACATTTCTTTTTGTTTTCACCAAATGCCACAAAGAAATAAACTTAACTGACATTTTTTGTATCAGAAATGATGTCAATATTTCCTTTGGTCAATCTCATGACTCCTTGTGAAGGACAAAAAACTACACCACAGCTCTCTTTTAAACTGGGCTGTGAAAGCTGTGGCATCACTCAAGTCTTTAGATGTGGTTGATTTGAGCAGTGGTGCAGGTGATTGCCATTTGTTTCTTGTTTTTCCCCTGATGAAATTAATAATGCATCCAGTTAAACAACCAAACATGCTCTGGTTTATGAAATGAAAAAAAAAAGTGTAAAACCATCTGTCATTAGTTTCCATGAACAGGCTTGCTTTTCTACTCATCTTTTCCTTTTTATTTCCTTTAAATATAATATTTATCATTATGATGTAAAATGTATATTGTCAAGGAGAATAATATAAAGTTTGGTTCATGCAATTGTGTCACTCTAATGAAAAAAAAACACAATTGCTTTATCAATGATTGATCACAATATTTTGGTTTGAATATTTCATGATGTATCTATCTGACTTTGCCAAAGCACTCTGCCCCATCTGCTGTTGTGCCCAGTTTGTAAATTATTAAAAACGTCAGATGAGATCACTAATGGTAACACTAGGTGGCAGCAGTAAACCATCAAATTCCAAACTATAGCCTCGCGGTTTAGTGGAATTCTTTGCAGAGGATTGGAGATAATATCAGTACATACAGTTTATGAAGGACGTTCATATACAAACAATAAAACAATAGATGTCCTCTAGTTTTTATTTTATATTCTCAATTTTTGTTTCTCAAAGAAAGCTCACCTTAAATGACAGTTTAATAAAGCATGGTTGAGTTATGGTACTGTGTAATTACATTTTCCTTTATTTTAGAGTCCAACTTAAGTCAATGTGGTTTTCGAGGATCTTCACATATTGGGATTCCGTACAGCACAAAGGTAAAGGCCAAGGTCAACAAGGAAAATTCTTTTGATAAATGCAAATAACTGAAATTATTTTTTAATTTGTATCGAGTGGTATGACCATAAAATACTGTATGTCTTTTGTGGGCTCCTCGTCGTTTTAGAGGTTTGTAGGTCTAAATAAGATGATAGGTTATTCTGTTATATTTAATTAACTTTAAAGCTTATGGATGCAGAACGCTTACCAAATACTGTGGTGTTTTTTTATATTTTGTTTTATTCTTTCAGGGGCCGGGCGTTCCTCATCCGTATGACAGTGGACATGTGGCAATGACGTACACTGGCCTCTGTTCGCTGTTGATATTAGGAGACGATCTGAGTCGCGTGAACAAACAAGCAGTTTTATCCGGCCTCAGAGTTCTGCAGCTCGAGGACGGGAGGTAAAGAAGCAAAATGCACTGTATACCTGAATATAAGATTATTATATTGTGGAAATACTGTGAAAATATGGAGGAAAAATACATACTCAAGCCATGAGGCTCCATTATGGGATCTTTAAGTGATTCAAAAGTATTACATTTAGTATAGCCTTATTCAAGCCCTTTAAAGCTTTACATTTGCCAATAATGACTCCACTTTTCTGTTGTTTTTGAGAATTGCTTGATATATTTTTATACACTGATATTATTTTCAAATTCTAAAACATGAAATGCTGTGAAAGTACTGAATAGAAATACTATAAATAATGAGTTACTGGTATTAAAATAAATAAACAATACATTAAGTTATTACAGATCAATCTTCAATACTGAAGTTCTATCTTAACGGCTGTTGACCCTTCATTTTGATGGATGCGTCACTTCAAGTTCTGTGGAAAATACAGCTTGTGCTTTGACTAACTGATCTCACAATGAATGTATTGTTTGTGTCTTTGCTCCCAGTTTTTACGCAGTGCCTGAGGGAAGTGAAAATGACATCCGCTTTATTTACTGTGCAGCCAGTATATGCTACATGCTGGATGACTGGTCTGGGATGGACATTCAGAAAGCCATTGAGTACATTAGGAGCAGTTTGGTAAGTGACATGGAAAAGCTCATAGGCCCGTCTTTTTAAGAGTGACCCTTCACTGAAACTGAAACAAACAAATGCTATGTGGATAAAGTTCTTTTATTTGTGAATTTTCTTGTTATTATATTTCTTCCTTTTTACCATACAGTTAGCATACATTCGTGCCAATATATTTAGGAGCAATGAATGTTTGTTTAAATGTTTTCACATGTGCTCTTCTGAAATCAGCCAAAAAAAAATCCTAAGAGGGAACTGAAAGTGTCTATTCGACGTCAACAAACCTCGGAAGGATTGAGTCAGTCTTTGAGCAATTCTATTTTTGGATTGGCATTTTATACAGCCATATATGATTACATGTCTGTGTATTGTGTGCACGGGTGTGGTGGATACCATCTTACTTTCCCTGTGATAAAATTACATGCATACAGAATTAGAAGCATACCAGCTGTCAAATGAGTCCTGTTAATGTAAATGTTAACAAAAATATTCCTCACCTAGATGTATTGGAACTGTTTTACCATATTATATCCCCTTTTTACAGCTTGCATTAACAGTAGGGTAGTTGTTTGGAATCAATTTATTATAGCCCAAGAGATTAAAGAGTTCTAACACAGAAGTTTATTGTTCCATCGTCAAGGCAACCTTCTATTGTGGGCAGTTGCCTGTTTCTTATGGTTCGGTCGGGTCTCGGTCCAGGCCAGATCCATGGTCCAGGCCCAGCTCCAGTTCGAGTCACACAACAGTCAATAATAATTAGGAAATGGTTAACCAGTTTTAATGTTTGTCAACTTGAATGAATAAAAATCTTTACACTTTTAAACCTCCAGACTCTTATTGGAGATAAAACTATTATTTGCAGCAGGTAAGCTGCTGTTGTCCTAAAATATATGATAAAATATGTTTGAGCATAGAGTTAATTGTTATTGAATTTGAGCCCACCCCTGATCTGTGAAATTGTCATAACCTACTGAATGTGTTAAACGCTTCAAACCATCACAAACATTTTTCTTCTTTACAGTCGTACGACAGTGGTTTTGGCCAAGGCGCAGGGCGGGAGTCTCATGGTAAGAATCATATAAATCCATATTATTTTATCACTCACCTTTTATAATCGTTGTCACTTTGGTGTGAAGAGGTGTGAACATTAGGGGGGGGTTTGTGTTCGGTTCTTGAAAGTGTATGACGGGAGTAAAAGGTTTAAAGGATTAGCCATTTCAATCCCGTCTCTGTAGATACATTGTGCTCATTAATCCCCTTCTCAAATTAAACCCATTTACAGGAGCACAGAGGTTGAACATAGTCACAGTGGTTGGGAAGAGGAAAGAAATTAGGTTAAAGTCATACAGATACTACTGAAAACCTTATCATCTTAACACCAGAGTAACTCCTAGATTCAATTCATTTTAAGAGCCTCCTGTTTTGGATATAAACACAAAACCAATCATTTTCACACCTTTTCTGAAGGTAAATCAAATTAAAGGCATGTTTGCACTGGGAAAATGCCAAATGCTTATACCCTCTATTCCCTATTTCTCATATGAAGCTTTGGATGCAAGTTGATTTAAAAAAAAAAAAAAAAAGAATCTGGATCGTCTTGACTTTACAAGAGCAATCGGTGACAACATAAAATTCACCAACATAGCATTTGGTTGACAGTTTGCATGCTTTTGACTTTGAGATATTTCCTCCCTTTTATTTCATTTTATGTTGACATATAATTACCTGTTTTTTATAAGAAGCTTTAAAATGCTGGATTTCCCTCACTCACATTCACTTCCCTTTCTTAATGTCACGGGCAGACCGTAAGCTTGTTGATTATACAGCAGCATCTCGACAGATTTACACCCTCGGCCCACACACTTGGCTCCTGTTTGTTGCGATGCACATGTCTGAACACAGATTAGGAGTTTTAATGTGTGGAGAACAGCAGAGGTGGCAAAGCTGTTGACAGTGCAGCGGTGGGAGGTGATGGATGACTGCTGTTGGTGGCTCAATCTGGAGAAAGTCTAATAGATCCGATCATCAATTTCTGAGAGATTGAAAACATATGATGGGTTTGGGAAGCCAGGTCGCCATATAGAAATTCTGGAGCTAATTGTTGTAATAAAAGACTGGTAGAATCTATAATATAAACCATTTTTTAAATCATTATAAACTATTCCTCAAATGTCGAAGAACACAAAAATAAATAATTCCATACATATATATAACAATAACATGGTGTGCACAAATCAGACCATAATACTGTAATCCTGTGAGTCACTATTTGACACTTGAGGCTTAAGAGTGATGGTGGTTCTTCCTTTTTCACTTTTCCACCTGAAATGTGAAAATTAGTTTAACTCTTTTGAGATAACTAGTTTTATGGTCTATGTTGCTTTGAATGTATTGTATATCCACTTACAGTATTGTGTGTTGAAAGTTCAATACCACAGCTTTAACTGAGATTACTAACTTGTACAATTTCCAGGTGGGTGGACGTACTGTGCCATCGCCTCCCTGTGTCTGATGGGACGTTTGGAGGAGGCTCTCAGTCGGAAAGAGCTGGACCGCATCCGACGCTGGTGCATCATGAGGCAGCAGACGGGCTTCCACGGCAGACCCAACAAACCTGTCGACACCTGCTACTCCTTCTGGGTCGGAGCCACGCTGGAGGTACCGAGATCAGTCATTACTAATGTCTATTATAGTTTACAAATATTTAATAAGAAAAACGTTTTCGATCCCAGAACATGATGATGAGAGATGATTGAATATTCATTATTATTCATACTGCATCATTCACACAATGGTATATTTATGATTATGGCTAATATACATCTATATATTGTATTAGCCAAACGCATTTATCCAGCTTTTTAGTGTCCAATACAGATCATAATTTTTCCCTTTCTAATCACAGCCAACGTATTACAAAATGTGTCCAATTGTGTTTTTTAACAGTTATTTATCCTGGAAGCAAATATAGAACAACTTGTTGAGTAAGTCAGAGTTTTAAATTTTAGTCGTACAAAGGCCTAATACCTGCTTAACCAATATCATAGAACCTGATCCAACACATTTTTTTGAAATTGGCAGAAATATCCAATACCCCTATCTGTGCATCTCTGTATGGAATTATAGTAACTGAATTATCCTTAAACTTGACTTTTGTATTTTCTTCTCCAAATATTGAGTGCCTTGTTGACACGTGTCTGCTCTGCTCTGTCCTGCCACAGCTCTTAGATGTGTTCCAGTTCACTCACTTTAAGAGGAATCGCAGTTTCATCCTCTCCACTCAGGACCGGCTGGTGGGGGGCTTCGCCAAGTGGCCCGACAGCCATCCAGGTCAGCACCACTTTCGCCTCTATCACTAGGACCAGTCTTTTTCTTAGCTTGTTAATTATTCAATTTATGATCAGCACCATCATTTGGCCCACATTATAATCATAAGATATTATCAATCTCACATTTTCACACACAAAAAGTCAGCACATATGAACTTTTGTTTCTTTTAGAACAGGTTCTCAAACTTTTGAATGTTGGACCCCAAAATATGTCCATAAAATCCACCTTCTCAATAAAAGTTTAAGCAGTTTTAATTATTTTCAAGTGTAAAAACATGCTAAATCCATTGCGGTTAGGGTTAGGGTTAGGTGATTGTGTTCTGTGTCCGATAATGGGTGAACTACAGTGAAAAACCTTTATTTTATCTTGAAAGGATCTCCGCCCTCTCCTAGCTCAGTGTCATGAAAGCTGGGGTACCTAACCTATTTTTCTCCTCATAAATAATACATGTATGTCCCACTCTCGACAGACTGAATCGTGCGGTCTGATTTGGCCACATTTTACTTTTACAACATGCTGTCTTCATTGTATTAAAAAACATGTTATCTTTTGCACACTGGTAAGAAATTGTCGTCTCTGTTTGACGCTTTGAGAGTTAATTCGCTGAGGTGAGGGTGCTCCTGTCTTTTTTGTCTGAAACGGCTAATAAAGATGTGAAAAAAAATACATGCGTGTGAAAACTCGTGATTACATGGATTTTATTACATTGTTGCATTTTTGTGGTTTTACAGTGGGTGCCATAGCTTGGGAGTGTTTATGGCCTTTTGCATAATAATTCTAACATTATAATTTGACACTCCTTCAACTCTGATCCTAAGTACTACATCTTTAATTACAGTCTATGGGATATATTTGGTTGGGACGGTGCCTGTAGCTGAACAAACATGTATATGAAGCCAGATTTGCCTGTTGTCACGTTGCCATCATCACTGGGTGGAGCGCTGAAATGATTCTCCTCACATTTCCAGTTTTGGTCGTCTTTATGTTGCCAGTTTCTATTTGGTCGTCTTTATGTTGCCCTTTATGTCCACCCTGCCTTGCATAGTTGTTGATGGGTCAGGGTGGGGTTGCGGCTGCCAGGTTGCCTCAAAGATCAGTGGAAAGGCTCTGGTAACTCTAAACTGCAGCGTGTGGGTTTGGTGTTATGCGTAATTGATGAGATGATTGTTATAGGTAGCCCGAGGACGCAGGAGGTAGAAATCCTCACGTTACAATGAACAAGCCGGAACAGAAAGCCAAAAAAACACCAAACAAAAGATGGATATTTACGAACAAAGCAGCATTTTGGGAGGAAGACAGTCAGTTGTGAATGCACTTCAACGTGAATGAATGGAGTCTTTTGTGCCGCAGCCTGTGTGGGAAGATAAGGAGAGGATTGTATCGCAAGCATTTAAATATATTTGAATTGACATTTACCCGGGTTGTATTCTGGTGTACAGCCATGTACTGTACATACATACTTGGAGATAACTCGGATTTAAAAATTAAACCATAAATCCACTGTTATTTAACATTTTGAGAAGCTTTTTATCATTAAACCAATATGGTTAATCACTATGGAATCACATGAGATGGCAATCAGTAAGTGATCAAATTCAATCAATGGTGTTTCCAAAGAAGACAATAAAAATGTAGATATAACTATGTCTTGTGCCTGGAATTTTGAATAGGTAATAAGTTTCAAATCCTATTATAATTGCTTACTGTTCTGGAATCCATGCAATGCCGTACAGTGTCCCATTTCCAGGCATCTGTTCTATTTTGAATATCTATATTGATTCTATAGATTGGCAATGAACTCCTTATATCCTGCCGCAGGCGTCCTTGACTTACAGTGGATGTGGATTTTACTGTTGGCTAATGGATCTTTTGAGGGATATTAATGTGCTCATACAATCAGCTGTCATTTCATTATAATTCAATCATTCTTCCATTTTGGATCATCAGTGCTTTTACTCAGGCCCCAGGGGAGGGCAGCTTCCATAAGGCGTTCCTGTGGTCTACATTATTTATATGTTGCGTTATGGGCAGGGCTGTAAAACTATCACGGTGTGGAAACAATGGAACCACTTATTACGACTGCAAGATTAATCACACTCATTTGTCAATCACAAAAGCTACACTTATTTATCTTTTTTTTGTAGTGACTGTGTTTAATGTTGTAAAAATCTGCTGTTTAACCATATAAAGACATAGTGATTCTTGCCTGTCGGTTCATATTCCAGTCTTTTCTGCATTGATGCTCCCGGATATGTTTATAATGGCCACTGTGACTCAACGCTGTACATACTGAATATATAATCTAGCCCAGTTTAGACGTTCAAAAGAAATCTGAAAATCCGCAAATCCTGCCCCAATTGCTATTCTTATTGTATTAAATCCCCTAATGTAGTCAGCAATGGGTTTTTATGAAGATCTTTTTTTTGTCTACATATTTAGATTCAGTGGCTCATGCTATTATCCATTTAGGTGCCAACTTTCTGGAAAAAAGTGTTTTTGTGAAACAGACAAAAAGTATTTCAAGCAATAGAGTACTAGAAAGAGAAAGAAAAAGAAAAACCTTTAGGGAAACCTGTTGTAGGAAGCCAGTGTCCTCGTGTAGTCATTCTGATACTTTGATGCCGAAAGGGTCAATTTACTTGTATTATATTATCACTTATTGTCAACTTGAACGGGAGCTTTCTGGGGATTTCTGGGGTTCTGGATTTTATTGTTTTCATTTCTAGAGAATATTTAGTAAAATGTTGTCAATTGTATAAGTGAACCTGGCCCTCAAAACTTATCTTTGACCTTCCTTTTCTGTCTTCAGACCCTCTCCACGCTTACCTTGGCATCTGTGGCCTGTCCCTGATCGGAGAGCCCAGCCTGCAGAGTGTACACCCGGCCCTCAACATCACGCAGAGGGCCTTCGAGCACCTGCAGCAGCTGCAGCGGACGTGGAGGGACAAGTGCAATGGACAGCACTGACATTGATGACACTGAAGACAGAGTTTACAGGAGTTAAATGGCTTGTTTTTCAGAATAATACAATTACTATTATTGAGTACTTGATTGAACCATTGGTCCGGTTTTATCAGGTTCAATATGCATTTTGAGAATAATTAACTTTTTTTTTGTATAATAAGTTAACTGCTATAATAGTTTGGTCAAGAGCAATTTTGCCTAAATGATCTTCATTATGGTCAAATATTCAATCCGCGATAATGCTCTACAAGCTATAATAAAGCATACCTAATGGTTTAACTGCATATTGTATACGAGTCAGCCACCTGCCTTTGTTTTCAGTTTGATAGGACTTTTAAACTGTATTTTCACCTCTAGTTCAGGGTGACAAAATAGCACTTACCGTGATGGCAACTGACAGGAATTGCGGAAAAGGAACATTTGCATTCTATCCATTCAGAAAATACTTACACTATAATAATATGACTCAATATTAATAATGCAAATACAAGTACTTTTAACTCCTGTAGATGTATATATTTTTGCCGTGTGAAGCCCTTCTCTTCGCGGCAGGATTAGGAAGTCTCTAGTTGCAATTAAGTGACTGAGAAGACGACTTTCCGCTCTGGCTAAATGCAACTTTGGGTTAAGCAATACGAGCCTCACATGTTTTGCTGCCTTGCCGAGAATATTGCCACTTTTCAATTGTTCTACTGTATGTGCCACACCGACTATATGATGATGTGAGATCTTTTTCCAGGCTTAATTATGCAGCGTTTTTTCACATTTAAAGACTTTGCTGCTTTAGGGAAAATATTATACGCTGTCGATTGCACACTGCAAAAAAGAAGTGTCTCCGCAAGAAGAATATAATGGAAGGCAAAGGTTGTATCATGTGCTCTTGCGATTTTAACTGAACATGCGATGCCTTTAGTTGCCATAATGTCGAGTCGTCATACCAGATTTTCCATCGTTGCAAATTCTGCTTTCTGATTGGATTCAGAAGAACAAATCATACATTCATTGAAATCAAATAGGACGCATAAGGATAATGTTGGTACAATACTAATATACATTTCCTTTCATCTTGAAATATGAGTTGAAGATGAAAGAAAATATGTTAAAGTTGTGTGTATGTGTGTTCTTGTATTATTGGGAGTTGTGCATTCCTGTAAAATGAAAAAACAACAGTGTACGGTTACATTATTTAAGACTATTTTAGACCTGGAGGGTTTACCGGAGCATGCAGTCAACCTTCTATCTCACATTTATTTGATCATGTTGGTGTTTATCAGTAATAATAAGAATGGCATAAGGCAAAAGCAGATCCTCTGGAAACGAGCAGGTGCTGTGGTTGTGAATTGAAATATTTTTATATTCTTGTTTTGCAGTTCTAACTTGATGACTGTTTTTTTTGTAAGTGGACCCCGAGTGGGCTTAGCAGATATCAAAGTCCCTACACTGTTGCTGTGGGCTTTTACTGCTCTAATTTGTGAAAGAACACGGCAATTCCTGAAAAAAAGCTTGTATTTTGCAACATGTAAATAAACAGTATCTATTTTGACTTTTCTCTTGTATATCAAGGACTCATCAGTTCTTTCTGATCATATCCCATTGATTATAAGTTTGCTTTTATGCTTTATTTTACTTTGCTGTTTGTGTTTATAGCAGAACAAGTTACCTTCAAAGAAGGTGTCCCCTGTATTTCAGTGATGCATCAAAATTCCAAACATATTGATCGTCATGATTTAGGTAAAATTGTTTTTTTCTTCCCTCCACATGAACAACCCTGGGGCACACTGACAGAAGCAAGGCAAATATTATGTGCCTTCAGTCCCTCTGACGATCACCACCAGCCTTTCACACATACCAGGCTCATTCTAGGCAATGTGGGTGAATGTGTCTTGTCTAAGGACATAGCAACAGTATGACACTTTACGGCCACAGCCGCCCCACTGTGATGATCCCAGAGGTCTCCCATCTCAGAGCTAACCAGGCCCTGCCACTCACAGCTTCAGAGTTCTGACGGGATCTGGCCAAACAAAAACGGACAGATTTTAAGTATTTTTTTTTATCTGCATTGATTGGTTTTCTGTTTTTTTTTTTACCCTTTCAGCCTGGAGCACTTCTTCTAAGCTCTTGTCTGAGTGGGTCTCTGGAGGTTTTGACTACAACAATACAAGCTGCTCATTTAAAGTAAGTAATCTTTATTTATGTACCGCCTTTCACAGACCAGAGTCACAAAGCACTTTACAATTGTGGGCATTTGTCTCTCACTCCACACAGAGATAGGAGCGGGGTCGCCAGTACAGGAGGCGCATGCCAGACCTATTGTACATGTTTTTAGTGTTAGGGGAAACCGGAGTACCCGGGGGAAACCTACGCAGAATCGCAGACACGGGGAGAACATGCAAACTCCACTCAGAAAGACCCAGTTCCGGGATTCAAACACTTTCTTGCTGAGAAGCGAGACTGCTATCCACTCAGCCACCGTGATGCTGGCACTGCTACTGTGTTTTTGTGATACAGCATAAAAATATAGTGATAATAATTTTTATGTGAAATCATGTGTCAATCAAGTAATAAACGGCAAAAAAAAAAAGGTTTGTTTTGTCATTTCTTTGCAAAAGTAATTAAAACATAAGCCTGTTTGGTAAAAATCAATAGTGGAAAGTGAACTCTGTGATACCCAGCCTCAAGTGTTCCCTTTGAACGGCAGCCTGTATTGATGTGGTGTTTTCAGAACACAAAGAACAGTGCACACGACCAGAGATTGGGAGTCCAGTTACAACCAGTTATCCGACAATTGTTCATTTTAACGCATATTCTGCCATTTAGCTTTTTTATTTTTTATTTTCAAACAGCCCTCCATACATTTATCTTCATCCTGTCACCATAGTCTGCTGTTAGCCTGGCTACTGTACTATCACACGTGAATATGTGTGCAGTTCCAAATGACTGGAGAGAACACAGCATGTATTGGCTCACCAAAACTGAATATTCAAATGAGTTCATGTTTACTTTGACTAGATTTGACTACATACTCTGAACACATGTCACACTTTTTGTTTATACTCCCATTTTTCACGGGTTAAACCTCGAAATATAGATCTATGTATATGATCACAAGACCATCTCTATCAGATATTTACAAATGTTTACAAATCTGTGTTTCAGGGAGATCTCAGTCTTTGCTGAGACACTCCATCCCACCTCACAATTATCATGCGCCATATCAAGATGCTAATTAGACCTTATGTGACAATGTTTACCTCAAGAACAGAAACAAATCTCCTTCACAGAGTTGATCAGGTGGTTGGTCGTCATCTTACTGTAGTTACTGGATATTGTAAGGACCTTGAAGATGCTGTCACAATGATCCAGTAAACGTAGATCGAGGGCCTATGCATATGTTATGAACAACTGCATTAAAATGATGGAATTATGAATGCAGAGAGTTATTGGGTATGTAACGAGATTCCAACGCCCAAATTTGTACCCCTATAGCTAGCTGTAAACAACACAATTCTTGCACCAGCATACTCCCTGGACAGGTCACCCATTGAACATGTGTTGTGTTTCTGAATCTCCAGACCTTGCCTTACATCGATGAAGCAGTTTTATAATGTGTCATTTGCCAAATAAATCTTGTCATTGCTTTTCACGTCATTTGAAGCTCATGAGCCATGTGTCAGGATTGAAATTGGAGCATGGAGACTGTAGCGGAAAGGAGAGACACGAGAAAGAGGAGCCACTGAATAATCATACCAGACATTTATTATTCAACATAAACTGTCGGTGGCTCCAATAGTCCTGTAACCTTGTTTTGACGGAAACGTGTTTTATTATTTCAAGTAGTAAACTGTTTTGGCAAATTTACGCCGAACTTATATATGTCATCTTCAATGATTTGTGTCTGTGCGTCTCAACATACAATGGAGACACTGCTGACACCAAGTCCCATGCAGAAATTGGAAATGGCCCAGAAGGAAAGCTTAGTCCAAACTGAATAAAAGCTCTGTAGCCTGCATGACTTGACATACTGTATGAGCACCTCGCCCTCCCCTTGAGACCTATGAATGAAAATCTCTGGTGGAAGTATAACATTCCAAATACCTCAGATTGTAGGTCAGTCCTAGATCAAGACGTGATCATAAAACCACTTGTCTGGAATGGACAAAATGTTTGGAATCATATCTTCAGGATGTTTTTTAGACCCAAAGAGTCGTAATGGGGTTAGTTAGACCTCAAAGCCAAAGTATGCTACTTTAGCTGTTGAGTACAGTGAGTTTAATATAAAATGTCAATTACTGAATGTAGTCCAACAACTCTTCCTCCAATCAGCACCAAAATCTCTGCAAGAAAAGAGCGAGTCTCGTCTTACTGTCAGCATCCAGAAATCACACACGGGAAGGTGGAGCAGATCAAAATCTATTGACCTGCTGAAAACTGATGCTGGTGACACATCTAAACCAGAGCTCTGTTCAGCACAATGCTCCAAATCGTTACAAAATTACAGTTGTGAGTGTGTTTCCCTGAATATTCCACAGACTGCCTTTCACTTTTCTCCATAGAATAAGAACGTGGCACTACACCATGCAAAGTTTTGAAAAAGCGCCCCTGCTCAGTTATGTCTGCATTTCAGTTATTTTGAGTAATAAATCAACACATTCTCCATAGATCCTTGAAAGGCCTATACTGGATTCAATTTTAGATCATCTACCTTGAGTTTTTTCCATTGGGGAGAGAGGGTCACTGCTGAAGCACTACTGGAGACTGATCAATGTAAATTGGATTATCTGGTTCTCTCATGGATGGATGTTGCTTATATAATCTATAGCATGCACAGGCTAACAAGACAATGGACGTAAACTTGGCACAATTCTGAAAACTGCCCTTTTAAGGTTTCTTTAACAAAACACTTTAATTCACAAAGTACCCTGTAATTAGGAAAGCTCAGCAGAACATATACATTCATTATTCTACTTTTCATCTTATGATTTCTATCCAACATTGCGCATATTCAACTCCAAACATGGTAAAAAAGAAACAGGTCAAAGTACAATCCTATGAATTTCAGAATAAGATCTGGAACAATCTCCCTGAAAATGTGAGGGAGGCGTCTACTCTGTCAATGTTCAAATCCAGGTTAAAGACTGTTCTGTTTGCCTGTGCATACAACTGAAGGATTTTATCTCCATTTTTAATGCACTGCTGTCATTTATTTATTTATTTAAATTTCTTGTGTAATTTTGAAAGTTTTAATGGTTTTATTCTTTTGTGTGATTTTAATGTTTTAATTGTGTTTTAATCTTTTGTGTGATTTTAATGTTTTAATTGTGATTCTGGTGTTTGTTTTATGTGATGATTTGTGATGTGGACTGTGAAGCGCTTTGTGTTGCCATGTGTATGAAAGGCGCTCTACAAATAAACTTTGATTGATTGATTGATTGAAGTTTGCAGAAGGTGTTTGCCCAACTCCATGGACTTCTGCCACTCCCCCACTAAATTATTAATATTGTAGTCCTGTCACATTTTTCAGGCCAGTCCTATAGCCCCCGTTGGAAATGCGATCAGATTTAAGAAGGTATCTGACATTCTTCTGAAATGATACAAAGTCTCTATTTTCCTCATCCACTCCTCATAATTTTGCTGTGTGGTCAAGTGTTTTCTGAGAATCCTCTTTCCTGTTATGTCGGTTCAATAATGATTTCCACAAGGCACACTCATTCACAGAGACACTGTCCATAAATGCTTCACTCCGCAGCACAGAGAGGATAATGGTGCAGAGGCAGTTGCCAGAGCACATTCTAACACTCTTGTTAATGGACTGAACTTTAGATAAAAATAAATATCTTTCAAGGCTCTTTGATAGAATAAATATGGTCCGCTCTGGTTTTCTCCTTATACTCAATGATCATTTACATTTTCCTTAACCTACTTTCATACAAATATGAGCCTTCATAGTTATTATACAGCACATTGCCAGGTCAGTGACTAAGATATAATTAACAGCTTTGGGGGATGGGGTACTGTGGCACACCATCAAACAGAAGCTCACTCATGTTGGCACCAAAAGTGGCATCTCAAGATAAACCACACATTTCAACATGTTGGAGCATAAAATACTGTAAAGTCCTGATATGAGATTTCAACATTTGTGGCAGATACCAAACAAAATATTAAAACATGTGACTTTTGATTGACATTCCTACATCATTAGTGACCAATATAGTCTTTGATGATATGAAGAGAGTATGGAGCTATGTAGACGAGATACTGTTTACAGGCCATCTGCATAGTTCCATGTAACAACTACTGTAAATGACAATCCCTTGAGTGAACTGATATATTTGCTTATTTTTGTACTCTCTCACTCACTTAATCTGTTAAATAATACTAAATCAATGGAGTATATTGATAATTCAATTCAAGCAGAATCCTTTTGCTCATCCATATGGGCCTGGGCAAACATTAAAGAACAGTTTAAAATACATCTTACAAGTGAAAACAGAGTGGATGATATTATAATAGTTTTGTGTTAGGTTTTCATGAGATTATGGACTTTCCTTTCAATCTATAGTTCATCCAATAGCCACGAAGACAGCAGAACTATTTCTCATCTGTCACGTTGGCATAATAAAGCCTGTTGCCAGTTTGCCCCATGGCAACTGTGGCTTTGCAGAAGAACCACAGAACCTGAAACCACAGAACACAATGAATCTCAGCTTTGAGTCAAAAATCAGTAATGAGTTTATGAAGCAATTCGCTTTCTCTACAGTGAGTTTATGATGAATGACTATTAATTCCACATCCAGCATGGCACATACACGTAAGCACGCCACGAGGCCATCTGGTGACGCACACGAGCGGAGATATGCCAGAAAACACAACAAAGCAACAACTTAATCTGGCGTTAGTCCCGTTGCCATCTATAATCTGGCTCAGCAACAGCAAACCCACTCTCCACGAATCTGTAAACGGGATGTGGTTACCTTGGAAACTACACGAGCGCCACCCCCAATGCCAAAAAGTGTGCAGTTTGATATTTGGGACACAATCTGGAAGTGTCGCGTACAACACGAAGCATTACGCACACACGTGAGCTGTGCCAACCATGCGTAAACACCCAACGCCGGCTGATTTAGGACCCCCCGCCCTGAGCTGCAGTTAATCCTCCCAGAGATGAGTATTTGCGATGACGGAAGACCTCAGGACTGGAGTTATCAGTGGCAGACGAGGTTATAGGTGATCAGCGTGGAGTGCTGTGGGAGCGGACACGTTGGCGCGTAAAGGCGGCGTATAGAGGTAGATAGAAGCGGTGCTGAGGAGAAATGGGCGTGGTTTCGCCTCCGAGAAGATGCCAACTAAAATAAAACGCGCTCCTCGCTTCTCACATGAGCCAATCCAAAGAGAGAAGGCAGAAAAGGCGATGTCATCTCCCCAAGGAATCTAATGTTGTTGCTTTAAAGCTGCAGCACTGTGATCACCCCATATACTCTGCTTTATTCATTCAACCGCTGCGTTTGTAACACCTTCTGTGCAGTAGCCATGTCGGACTCGGAGGATATGACGGAGTTCGCCAGTATCGTGGAGCGGATCGAGCGGGGAGAGGTGAGTGGTGGTCGGGAATGATTTACGGGCGTTTGACAGCAGCGCTCTGCCTGTCACAGCAGAGGCCCGGGGAAGATGGCATACGCTCATCATCATAGGTCCAGCATTACATGGAAGGAAAGCATGCAATTACATCATTCTATATAGCTATTAATAGCGCTGTCATGATGGGCCACAACCAATGCATTTTTACTGGAGAATTAAGGTGTTTTTCTGACCAGTTTTAGCCTGCTTGTTGTCTCAACTCTGGCCTATATCTGAACGATATAAAAGTCCTACAATGAAAACATTGGTCTTCCAGAAAGTTGTATACAAATGATCATTCCGGCTCGTGGAATCTTCATATATATGTAATTTTACCATCTTTTAAAAGTTAACTCAAACAAACATAAGACATGTATCATATAAAAGCCTAATGTTGTCCACCGGCATAGTGATTTTATTTAACGTTTTTTCTTCAAATAATAATTTAATACACAACAGCAACACTTCATTTAGGGTCGATTGCACTGTGAATAGGCCTAATCTACAGATTAGAGCTACTGGCTTTTAAATCTACTGGCTAGTCACTATCATTTGTTATTTATTTATGAATATGCTGTCTGATGTTACATTGCACTTGAAGGGTCATATTTACATTTCATTTAACTGAGCTCTGCTTTGTCTCTTTTTACGCATTCCTTTCATGCAACGTCTTAAACACAAACAGATGAATTCATGTTTTACGTATCCGACACAGTGTATGTTAAAACATCACTATTCCCTACTGCATTTTGAAGTTTCTACTCTGTACATGAAGTAGAATATTCCATATGATCTGCTCATGTTCTTTTATGTGTCAGGAGGACCCAGGACATCTCAGCTGCAGGGCACAGGATGTGTCCTATAAATAGTAAATAAAAGTGGATGTGAAGAGTTGAATTAGCAGCTTGACTGGCTTGGTCTCGTTCTGCAAACTGAGGCCGTGTGTCTGCAGTATGTGGAGCAGCTGTGGGCAGTGACAGGGCACCGGTGTGCTCCTTCTGCCTGTAGGGGGCATTACTTAGTAGAAGAGACATGAGTGAGCATTTTGCATGGACTCTGAGGCAGGGAGATGTCAGAATTTTTCATTATGAATACCCCCCGCCCTCCCCAACACACACACTTAAGTGCTTAAGTGTGTGTGTTGTTGTGTGTGTTAACATCAGCACAGACGATGCCCCGCAAGCACTGGTTGCCAGTTAATTTCCCCTAAGCTATTGATTTAGAGTATAGATCCCCAAACAATATAGACAACATATAGAAAAGGTTGGAGATGCTGTAGATTCTGTTTGCACCAAACTTTTCTTGCAGTTGTAACTTGGGGAGAGAAAGAGTTTAGCAATCGGGCTAAAACTGAACATATGCTTGGGGAAGACCTAAAGAGACGCAGTTCTCAACCCAAATCTATGGTCAGATGATCTCCCACAGGCAGCTGTGATTCCAGACCACAAGAGGAATACTGCTACACCTAACCCCCAGTCTTTGAGTGACGGCAGGGTGTGCTATACAACAAGAAGGTCCTTGGTTCAAATGGACCAACCAGACTAGGAATTTCTGTGTTGAGTTTGCATATGCTCCTGTGTCTCCAAAGGTTCTCTTCCATATACTTAAGGTTTAAAAACAAGTACAAGGTATACATGGTCGGAGTGCCAGGAGTTCAGCGTCTTGCTTTGGTCATCACTGTGTCTGTGGAGTAATGAAGTCACACTATATTGCACAGTGCTGTGTGTGGCCTTGGTCTAGGAAATGTGCTGAGGATTACTTGCTTACTTGAAGGTTAAATGAGACCAACCCATGGTCAGCCTCAATAATAATAGTAGTAAAAACAGTCTTTCCAACATTTGTCTTTGCAGTTTTCCATTAGGTCAATTATAAATCTGATGGATCCTAAATCAGGCTCAATGCAAATACATTAAAATGCATGATACATCTAAGATTGATAGTGGGGGTTCTCTCACCCTTTTACTATGTGTGGTACATTTCAGAAACGACCAAACGCCTGAATGTGAACAAACAATGCATAATAATTGAGCAAATGTAACCTACGGTCGGTTTCCTGAATTTAATTATAGAACTCCAGTGGGAACAGTATTGCTATTCCCGGACCTTGGCCTTAATAATGTAACAGTCTTCAAAGAATAATCAAACACAAAATTATTCTAAATTTCAAGCTCCAAAAAGGTGGGCAATTGTAAAGATAAAGGTTTGTTTTTTATTCTAAATTACATTTATGATGTAGGCATCAACAGAAAATGAAACAAATGAAAATGAGTCATTTCAAGACCACTTTTGAGATTGGCTTTCCTTTTTCCTGTCCCATACTAAAACATAATCTCTATGATATGTAGTGCACTTGAATATAGTAGTAACATACATTTTAAAAAGTAGTAATTTGAAGAAATTGTATGTATATTTGTACTTATTTATATGGATTCCTAATTCTATTTGTACTTTTATAACTTGTTTGCACATAGAGTCAAAGCAATTATCTATATTTGTGGCTTCCTCACAATGGCATTAAAAAGAATAATCTGATGAGAGAAAACATATCTTCCAAAGTGTGTGTTTTGATAATGCATTAACATTTCTTTTTGAGGCTTGTGGTTTACACTTGTCTGGGCCTGGGGTAATGTCTGATTTCTCAGATGCCTGTGTTTTAGCTGCCATTGGTCGCTATGGAGACCCCCCCTCGCTCTTCTCCTACCCCTTCCCATTTGAAAGGCCTGCGGGTTGCCAGGTTATTTGCTTGTTTGTTGCTTTGTTTGTTTTTTCGATTCCAATAAAACTTGTTCTTGTTTACTGAACATGACATAATCACAAGGATGCAATAGAGGTTTGTCAAAACTGTAGAATATGAGTAAATTAACAAAGAATATTTACAATAACAGAATAACTAAAGAGTTTCTAATTTTGTATTATGTATATTGTATGCAGCCTTTTGATAAAGTGCGATATGGAACATGCCAATTTCGTTCTAATGATTTGATGGCCCATAGTAACTCAGACTGTTTGAGAGCTACAGGGACTAGTGGGGTAATCCTCCTCTAATTCACCAGAAAAAAAGGCTTCCATCTTTACCATGATAAATGACAGCGGTTTCCATGAACGTATATTTTATTTTTTCCGTTTTTGTTTTAAAGGTATCACAAGACCTACACAGCCAAATGTCATAATGTATATGGTATGCTATATAGAAGACTGTAGGGGTGCTTTTATTGTCTTCGCTGCGTACTTCTGTCTGCAGAGCTGGCACCCCGCCCCTCTCTCCTCTGAGCTCTATTTAAACTCCTCCACACTCTTCCACGGCTCAGACTCAGCGCATCTCTCGCACTCGCAACTTGTTTTAAGCCACAACAAACACACCACTGGATAAAGTTTGGAGTTTATTAAACGTGGGAATAGTTTTCACCCCTCACGATGACTGCGGAGAGGCGTCGGAGCTTCATTGGGGTAAGTTAGCGCACAATGCTCGGGTTGAAGCGTGCGGAGTTTGGGGCAGTTCAGTTGCATTGTTCTCGATACAAAAACACGCCATCTCCATCTGCTGCTAGTCAGATGAATGAAACCCCATATTTTGTTTTATATCTGCATTCGACTACATTCGTCTCTACTAGTATTTACCTTGTTCCTGCGTGCTTTGGGGGTAACAGGTGTGACTGGGGGATGAATGGATGGGCATGCTGTAGAGTTGAGAATTTGCCTAAGTTTTGAATAAATGGTTTCAGGCGAAAGAGGAGACCGAAACACACACACTTTTGGTGTTTTGGGTTTAAACGTGAACTGCTGGAATGTGTTTTAACAATTTGGATATCATTAGCTGGACTTAATCTTGTCTTGTGTAATGATGCAGAAACGTGCGAAAGACCAGCTGGACAAGGGGCTATTTGTAGTAGGAGGATTTTCTACTTCCGGGTGGATCATCAAGACTATTGGTCCTCCTAATTGTCAATCATTCTGTTGAGACGTGCTCGTCAAATAAGATCCAAGAGTTTTGTTCACAAAGTGGAGAGGGTGGTTCTGTCCTAAAATTTTGGGAAAATCCTCCTTATACTTAATTTTTTAGTTAGTTTTTTTTTTAGCCATAAAACAATTATTTTGAGATACAATATTTATAAGTTGTCTACCAAATACATGAATCTGAATCTGGAAAGGGTTGAACTCTACTAAACACCTGGCCAGTCGAGTTGACTTGTCTTCTCACAAAACGTTAGGCAGACGATGCTCTAAGCATTTGTTATGTCTGCAGGCTGTAAAAAGGAAATTGTAACTTTTTAAACATCTGACTAATAAAATATTTGGTGTCTTACAGGTGCCCATAAAGAACATTGAGAGGGAGCTGATTTGCCCCATCTGTAAGGAGCTTTTCACTCACCCGGTCATCCTGCCCTGTCAGCACAGTGTCTGCCACAAATGTGTCCGTGAGCTGCTCATGCTGAACCATGACGACTCCTTTGATGCCGGATCTGAGTGTTCGTTACCTGGCAGCCCCAGATCCAGGGTCCCCTCTCCTTCTATGGAAAGACTGGACCGGCTTGTCAGAGCAGGTAGACTTCTAAATATTTGTATTGCAAGGCTGCAGGGATGTTAGTCTTCACAATTTAAACCTCAAATACTGCAATTTATTCAGGAAATCTACTGTTGTCCTCCTGTGAATGAGGTTTTTATAGAGAATATGTATTGTATAATATAAATCTGCTAAACTTAAACAATGTTTAAAAATGCATTGGATTCTTTCAGAGCTTTAGTTAAGCAGTACTTTAACAATGTAGGATTGTAGAAAGCCAATATCTAGAGACTTCTTCACCAACAGTCTTCAACATTCATGGTAATCAGCTGTTGTTGGCACATGAGGGAATACTTTTCACTAACAAAGTTGTCTGTATGAGCTAACTGACGAGAAGATGATTGTTAATATATTTTCCATTGTTCTTTGAAAGGGATAGGAATCTTCTTTCCACCTCACAAGAATGTCACGGTCTGGTGTTATCTTAGCTGGGCCATTTTGACACTTTTTAATGAGAGCATTCATGTGAATAGAGCTAGTGTCTTCTGCAGATTATGTTTTTTATTGACTATAGTATATATGTGCTTATAAATGCTACTGTTTCTTTTTGAGTTTGGGAAGTGAGAGTATCAAGTTTATAAAATGGCCACTAAGTTCACTCCAAAGAAAGTCAATATCTCAAGAAGCACTCAGGATAAAAGGCATTTGATCCCACATATACAATTGTCTGTCACTGCCCTCAACAGGTTGCAGCTGCATGGTCCTTATTCAGCTTTAAAAATATAGTCTAAAAGGAAGGGCTTTGTTCTGCTCAACATTGTCCCAAGCAAAACAATACTCTATTCTATTTTCAAGGGACTGGATCGTCAGTGTGAGGGCATCTGTGTTGTGTAGATTGTACCACTATCCATGGCTATGACAAGGCATTTCAAGATTTTACACAAAAAGCTAAAGGTTATACGTGGCATGATCACAAGTGAGAAGAGCTGTGAGTTTATTAAAGATGAAATGCGTACATTTTGAGTAAGATCTATTGCGTTCTTGTTTCCATGTAGAGGCTTATGCTCTGCCTGGAATGCTTAACGGCACTGTATGCAAGTCTTCCATACATCAGTCTTCCCCCTTAAGAGATCAGCATAGCATACCTGATTGTCTAAATTGTTCTAATGCCATAATGTGGAACAAAGGAGCTTCTTCTGCAAAAAACTAAATTAATATCCTGTCTTGTGTGGAAACTTGTTAACCCAGTTGTTTAAATCTCCACAAGTACTGTATGTTCAGAATACCTTGCAAATTTCTGTAATTGATCAGCGGTTTGTTTCTTAGTTTTAGTTCTTAAACATTTTGTAAATCTAATCTTAATAATGCGTCTTTTCCCAAAATCATTCATCCCGTTTTCCTGGTCCCCTCCTCCCTCTCTTGCCCTAGATATCCCACAGTGAACAAAGCGCTAAATTACCATAGTGCTTCAGAATTGCACTCTGTCATCGTGTTGTTGTCCAATCCTGTCTACGACTCTGACATGTCAAGAGTTTTCATTTATCTACCAAACTAAAGGAAATTTTGACATTATTTGTTTCAATCGTGTTTGCGGTCTGTTTCTATAATGGCCCAGAGGAAACAAAAATCCACTGTAATTGTACAGTAGCTCTAACTTGCAGATCTGAAATGCAGGATTAGTTTCTCTTGATCGGATTAACTAGCATCATGTGTATGTATTATACACTTAAAAGGTGAAAGAGCACCTACACTGTATATAATCACACTGAGCTGCAGGAAGTGGGGATTTCCAGAACTGCTACTCCAAACTTGTATACATATATTGGCCATTTGGGAATTTAACATTGGACTACTGCCCACCCACCTCAGAACCCTTTGAGGATGAAACTTCAATGATTTTAATTTTGATATTAATACAGAATAACATTTACCTTCTTTGTTTTGTCCTTAACGCAAATTTGTGTCTGTTGTGCGTGACAACAAAAAACCCATAGTACTTCAGGATAAATTCCCACTTTTAGCTTATACATAATACATTCATTACAAAGCTAAAAGACTCAATTCAAGAAGTTTGTTGTGAAAAACAAAGTCATCAACTGAACTTTAAACTATATGTATTTTTAGTTGGTGTGGCTCTTTCATGTTTTTGATTTAGTTCAGTAAAGAAAAGATGAAACACTGTCCCTCTGCCCCTGAACGCTCTGGGCTCTGTGCCTCTACAGCACTCATTTGTACGCTTGTCCACCTCCTTTCGGGTAAACAAATATGCAGTAAATCCATGAGGAAATTAACAAAACCAGACTGTATTCCGCTGCCCGAATGGTGAAAGCAGTGTGCTGTATAGCTGGGAGTGTCTCTAGATGGGTTCAATATGGTTTTGCTTCTCAAACAAGGCCTCTCTTCATCAGACATGTTTCTCCACCTAAATGACTCCTTTATTTATTGCCGCAGGAAATGACAAAATCACAAATACAGCTTTTATAACACGACCATGTCATACAAATCCATGTGAGAAGTCTTTGACAATTAAAGGAAATCAAAGGCTTTGGGTTTACCACTATTTATATCAATTATACATTCAAATCACATCAAAACATACTTTGAGCAGAACTCTGAATCAGCTTGCTGCTATAGATTTTCATGGAAGACTAGGGTCTTCTGGGGTGGAGTTGTCACCAGAAAGCTTTCCTTTTTTTGGTGGTTAATAAAAATAAATGAAACTGACTGTTTCTAACACAAAAAAGCCAATTTGATGTCTTTCCTGAATGTAATATTCTGTAAGGGAAACGCTTGCAGACCGTTGCTGGTTGTCATAGCGCTTTAACCTTCCTAATAGCTATGGCGGGATTAGGAGGGGGCGTCTGTGAAGGGATAGACTTAAGGATATATTTCTGTGCCGAGTGGATGAGCGGGTCAGTATCCATCACTTGCAGAAGAACATTTAATTATGTGGGGCCTTCACAAGTCTATAATGAATGATGGGTGTAAGCTACACAATTTGCTTTTTTTCAAGTTATTTGAAAATTTGAGATCACTGTATTGAAGATGTAACTGAAACCCAACTTCTCTTAGTGAAAGTCAGAGTCAGACCATTCACCAACAATGTTAATCCATGTAGTCTTGTGCTCATTCAACAATTGTGCTTGAACATACCATGTCTAAACCATCTAACGTGTGTGAAGTAAATGACATATTCTGACCTGTCTCAATTTAATCATTTATTTATCTTTTTTTAAAATCTTGTTCACTTACCTATTTGTTCTGTTGTTGGTCTCTAACATGTCTCTTAATTTTCACTGCTGTACAAAATGCTAATTGCTTTCATATTTTGGCTGTTATCAAATTGCTGTTTTCATTTTGAATGATTTGTTTTCACTCATGCCACTTTCACTTATGCATTGTTTTGTTTTGATTCACCTTTTGCATCTCTGTCCGTTGCTTGCAGCCTCAGTGCGAACGTCGATGGGCGGTCGAGGTAGACGTGGGCCTCGTGTTTTCAATAGCTATAGTAGTGAGTACAGTGTTGACATAGAAACCCTGTGATACTGTAGTTTGATCCGACTCCTCTATGGCTGTAGCCCTGTCAATGCATTCAGATCAATATCGACATGTGCATACACGCCCACTGAACATGAGGAAGACATTTGTATTGTCCTGAATTGTGCTTTAGCTTGTATTTCATGGGTTGAAATAACACATCTGTCAAACCCTGCTGTAGCAGTAATGTAACTTAATAGTCTCCTACATTTCAAATCGACCCATCAGCATAAGAGGCAATATCCTCGTTATCCACATTTTTGTGTGCCTACATTAATATTTTACTGTCTAACAAACAAAAACAGTCACAAAACAAGAAATGCTACCAAATAGTTTAATGCTGTGGTTGATCATTATCACAATTAATTCATATCAATAGAACTACTACAAGAAACAAAACTATATTATGGGGGCAGGATTCCCAGGAGGGTACAGAATTATTGCAGAAACTTTTTACACTTTTTCCCTGTTTGACAAATAATTTTACATAACTAGTGATTCCAATAAACAACACTAAAGCATAAAGTCAGTAAAAAATGCAGGAAGTTTCTGTCACACATTTCTGGGGCTTGACTGAAAAGGCCCTGGACTAGACTAGTGACAATATTTTGACAAGACGATGTTATTTTAGTAGACTTTAGAGGGCTGTCAATATTGAGCATGTCAAATATGGACCCACAGCCAACATTCATTTAGCAAGGGGAGGAACGTTTCCAAGGGTATGGATAGTGAGTGTTTGTATTTTGCGCTTTGAATTGGGTATGCTGCGAGCCAAAGTATGTTTTTCTTTGATAAATAGTCTGTTTTAAAGATTAAACTTCATGGCTGTTGGCCTCATTTCACATTCTGATGATTTACAATATGTCTAGGCTTGCTGGGATTTTTGAACCGGCTTCTCAAAGATAACTTCACGCCTCAGGGACCACTTCATGCTTCATTTAATACCCATTATGCACAGTTCATTTGCTCCTTTTCAGATTATTTTCTTAAACCAAATAAAGTATATTTAACTTTATGCATACAAAAATTGTTACAAGTAAGGCTGCCAACGGACATTGACAGTGATTCCAGAATTGCTAAATGGTATTTACTTTTTTGATTGTCTATGATCCCATTCAGTGAACAAAGACACATTATTATATTAAAGGCTCTATGAAGGGCTTACAAGAATAATCATAAAAATAAATAACCAGTGTAACATTTTAGGCCGTAATACAATTTGGCGTGAATAGTTGAAGCTCACAATATGCTTTCAAATGGATACTGCCTTTTAGCCTCTTCAAACCGTTCCAAATGTTTTCATTCAAATACCAAATCCTGAGTGTATAGTAGTGCCCACTGTGCATTTCTTCAATCTACATGTCAAAGGAAAAGGGGTAAAAATATCCAGTCTTTGGTGTGGGGGCTACATGCGCAGTAAGCAGCTGCAGTGACTTGTCTCATTCAGACTCCTGCATCAGCACAATATCACAGCCCTCGGCGCCGCTGTCTCCACCTGCTCCGTCTGAGAAACGCAGGCAGGGGTAAAATTACTTTGGGTTAGGATTAGCGTTTTGGCTAAAGGACAAGGCCACTCCTTGAAATTAGTATCTACCACAGTCTGAGATATCCAAAATTATTCATTTAGCCTAAAGCAACAAGACGGGACGCAAAAAGAGGACAAATGAGACTCTGAAATGAGGAACTAATACACATTGGGGCTTTCCTTCCATAAATCCTTAATCTTAACTTGTAATTGTCCTTCAAGAAGTGGATACACGCAATACAGAAAAATATACCGTACAACTTCCCACAGAGTTCCAGGTTAACGACTCAAATAATTACATTTTGGTTTATAGACGTGTAAAAATGAACTTTGGGCGTGTTCACACTTGTTGGTCTAGTTCACATTAACTGGCCCAGGTCTTGTTCTTTAAGTTTGTGGATGTAAAATAAAATGAATGTCCCAGTTTAAACCGATCTGAAGAATTGTCCCAGAGTGAACCAGGCCAACAACTGTGAATACGACCCTTACTTTTTGTCTTGTCATTTTATTGTTAGAATACCATCACCACAGATACATCTCCATTTTTCAAGTAATTCTTCATCAACCGCCATCTTAAAATGTAAAATGTCTCAGAAAATAATTTGGAGTACATTCAGTTGTCCATTTTCAGATCCACTCACTATCACGCCTTAGTTCTTTCACAGCATGCACATGGCTACAGAGCTTTGCTTTCCTTGTCGGCCACTGCTTTTTCCTATGCCACACCTCTTGCAGTGTGTTGTTGGACTACTCTTTCCTGTGCATTTTATTTTTTTCCTTTTGTCCACCTGAGGAGTGTTCGATTTTAATTTTCAGGTCCGCGGAGGCGAAGTGGAGGCACACAGGCAGACATAAATCCAGCACTCCTTGGTTCCCCTGTCCCTCAAAAACGTGAAGCTTGTTTTATTTGGTGTCATTTTTGAGTTTCTGCTGTAGTGAGTTGCTGAACCATCCCTTTGCTTGCACCTGTGATGTGATATGTAGTTTGTATTTCAGTTCACTTATGCCTTTCACCATCTTTACATGCACTATTATGCTCATAGTCGAGGTCTGCATTTATTCCCAAACAAAACGCGTGCAGTAGAAATCATGGTCAAATCTAACTAGGAAAGCGAATACATTTGGTTTTTCAGAAGTGCATGTAAATATTGTGATTGTGTCTGGCCTTGTTACTTTATCCAAAGTAAACAAGTATTTTGTCTCCTGTCATGAACACGTTTGTGCATTGAACTGATAATGTTTAAGTTTCTCCAGTCTTGTATACTACAAGCTTTGCATGTCCCGTTTTCACGTAGTCAATATTCACTGCTGTCCAGAGAGTGTGAGCACGTGGATCATTCAGTAGTGAGAGCTGCATTCTTGGACCGATTCAAGGAGACCACCATTTACTTCCATAACTCCTGCATTTCCTCAACCTCCACTGTCTTGATCTTCATCTCCCAGTTATCTGACTCCTCAGTAAAAGTCACTGATATGCCTCTTTTTTAGAATAGTAGTTACTGTAGGTACTGTGTATGCAATTCAACGGAGGCCCTATTTTGAGATTGCTATACCAGCTTTTTATCAACATTATATTCCCTAAGTATATGCTCGATCAAATATGGGACTCATAAGTTGATGTTAAAAATTCAGAGAACTTCAGAGACTCTCTGAACTGCCTGATTGATGAATTAATCAGATGAGTGAGTTAACTGGGTGAGACTCGATGAGCAATGTTTCCAAACATGGCAACTTTTCAATGCAATTAATGTTAGTTTAATTTGTCAAACTTTTTTTTTTGTTAGGAAGTAAGTCTATATTTAAAGTTCCTGTGCATATGGAACTCTGTAGTACCTGCATGTACAGTAAACTTAGTCACCCAACAGCCTCATCTTTACTATTGGTTAGTTCTTGGTTATGGTGTCTGCCCAGTATGAATGTAAATCACTGTAAATATGTTGAGCACAATTTGAACTGGTAGTGCAAGCCAAAATGGGACCTCGTATATATCAGATATAATTGAGAACTATTAAACTATATAAAGCTCTTAGGCCTTGAGTAAGTTTAAGAGTTTATTAACTTTGTTTTCTTCCTCCTCTGCTCCAGGCTCAGTGTCCTCCCCAGGGTGGAGGCGGGGCTCTGTCACCCCCAGGATTACGGCCATCCCTTGCCCTGGGTGCCAACACGACATCGACTTGGGCGAGCGCGGCATCAGCATGTTGTTCCGGAACTTCACCCTGGAAAACATAGTTGAGAGGTATCGTCAGGCGGCCAGGGCGGCTGTGGCCATCACGTGTAACGTATGCAAACCGCCTCAGCTGCAGGAGGCCACGAAGAGCTGCATGGACTGTAAGGCCAGCTTCTGTAACGAGTGTTTCAAACTGCACCACCCCTGGGGAACGCCCAAAGCCCAGCACGAATATGTGGGGCCAACGACCAACTTCAGACCCAAGGCAAGAGCAGTGTTTATTTTTTCCCCATTTTATTACGTGCCAGAAATTTGCTCTGAAACGTTTTACTTTAAATAAAAATAAAAAGTTCAAAGTAAAACGTGTTTCTCACTAACTTTTAAGGTATCATGGTTGTTTTTCCATAATTTTTGGCATTGAAAATTACACTCTTTTTATTGGTTTATCATAGAACTGATGAAATGTCCTGGAAAATCGTCTTAAGTGTTCAAATCTTCATAGGCTAAAAATGTTGTTTATTCTGGATGTTCAGGTGCTGATGTGCCCAGAGCACGAGATGGAGAAGGTGAACATGTACTGTGAGGTGTGCAAACGCCCCGTCTGTCACTTGTGTAAACTCGGAGGCTCTCATGCCAACCACAAAGTCACCTCCATGAGCAGCGCTTACAAGATCCTCAAGGTACTTTATCTATTCTGGAAATCTATTGATATCTATTTTTGCCAGCATTTAAATTGAGCACATATCTGAAGTGACAATTTGTTACCCCTCTCCTATCTTCTTAGAATGTTTTTTTAGTTTAAATCCTGCTCAATTTTCACATACATAAGCAAAAATGCAAATGAATACACTTAAAAAGTACAAGGTTTGAACAGTTGAATAAAAGCAACGCTTTTATAATCTCAATCCCCTCCACTCATTCAACACAAGACAAAACACTATGCTTGTGCTCATCACATCAGTCATACACTAATCCTGGATGGTGTATACAGTAATATACAAAATGATAAACACGTGCACATACTCGCTTCGTGCTGAAGGCATATTTTGTCAGTACTTCATTTTGAAAATATAAAGCGGTTTTACCTCCTATCTTTGGATCCCCATAATGGTCTGTAAGCGCTTGTTGCCTCTGGGATTGACTAATTGCCAACGCAAAGTCCATGAAACAATTATGTGTATATTTTGGTATTTCACCATCCGTATTGCACGTTCTTCCAACAATAGCACAAACTGTTGGCCTGTCACACAACTCCTGTGAGGGAGTAGATGAACAATATGCAATCTTCACTGTTTTGTCTTCAGTTCTGTATTTGTGTGTTCATTTTCTGTGTAGGAAAAGCTGGCGAAGAGTATCCATTACCTCATCAGTAAAGAGGACCAGGTCCGAGCTCAGATTACTGATCTGGAGACTCTGATCAATCAGACTGAGGTAAGAGCTGACTCATGCTCTGGAGCTCGATATGTGGAAAACTAATGAGCTGTGCTTAGAATGGCAATCTTCTATCATGTTGTTCAACACTCACCCAAATGACAAATATTTGAGTATCAAACCTGTTTTTAAGTTGACTAGTGTGCGTCAAACAGAACAAACCAGGAAATTCCCTTTTCCCTGCTTCTACTAGAGTTCCTCTCCAACTCTGCTTGTTTCCTCTTTTGGGGTCAGCGTTGCTTGTAAAGGACATGATTCAAATCTTTTTGACTTCATTGTTTTATAAATATTTGTATGTTGATTTTTAACCACTATGGTAAATAGAAACATTTGGACTTTTTCTGATATTGGCAAAAAATTTGTCATGCTCTACATTTTTTTTTCTCTACATAAGTAAGTAAGTAATCTTTATTTATATACCGCCTTTCACAGACCAGAGTCACAAAGCGGTTTACAATTGTTATTTTTTGGGCACTTGTCCTCTCACTCCACACAGAGATGGGAGCGGGGTAACTTTGGGTTACATCTTGCAACCCAAAGTACAAGAGAGAGACTCTTGTACTTTGGGTTGCAAGATGCTTACTAAGCAACCTCTGTCAGATTAGCCTTTGAAATCTGCTAGTTGCTTTTCAGGGCCAGTTGTCATCAATAGCAGTTTTAAACTTTAACGTGAGCACAGCCTCGCCTTCATCTGTCAGAGTTTGTTCAATATACTAACTATAACTGACGTCTTGTGTATCTTTGTGCTTTTGTCTCTGTCACAGGAGAATGGTCAGTTGGCAGAGCGCACAGCCAATGAGCACTTTGACCGTTTATTTGAGACTCTGCAGGAAAGAAAGTCAGAGATGCTCCGGTCAATCGAACAGTCCCGCAGCCGCCGCCTTGACCATCTCAAGGGACAGGTACAAGAAAAACAAATGTCTGCAACTTCTGTGCTTAAATTGCTTATATAATATTTGCTAATTGCCCGCAGGTGGATGAGTACCAGGGCATGTTGGAGAACAGTGGTCTGGTGGGATATGCTCAAGAAGTGCTCAAGGAAACGGACCAGTCTTGTTTTGTACAGACTGCAAAGCAACTACACGTTAGGTACACTGCCATTTTATAAATCTATCCATGTCCCAGACCATGTTAAAGATGAAGTAGCAATGTAATTATATATATATTTTTAAATCTAGTATTGGTACATGCCTCTTTGTATTTATAAAACAGGTCAAAAACCTAATGTTTTTTGGTTTATTTTATTTGAATTGAATGAACGTAAAAACTAAGCTATTGTTATTGAAACTTTTTGTCTACTGAAACTAAATTATAAGCTCATTGCAACTATGCTAAAACGCCCAAAAAACCCAATTTGTTGGAATACGTAAAGTTTGACCTTGGACTAAAATTACTTAATGAAGTGAAAAAACCCATAAATGTGTTGTTATATAAGTGGATAGTGAGAGTGGAATAATACAGGTAGTTACATATTTAAGAGCTTTAGAGTAAAGATGGATATTATGTTATATCAAAAGCTTTCTTGAGTGTAGAGCTCTCTGCAGCTGTGTGTTCGGGAGCTGGGAACTCGAAATCAGTTTGCCGAACCCTTTTTAATTGCTTTGTGAGGGATGATATTGGTCGATAACTTAGTAAGGGTGTAGTAAACCAAAGAATTTGTTTTCCGTTACTCTCCATCACTTCCTGGCAAAAGTTGCTTTCAAGCTTCCTCAAAATGGTTACATTGTGCACAGGTTGTACAAATGGGGCGACTTAATATGTAGGGCTTAACATGACTTGACAATAAAATGTACAATATATATTTTGTTTTTTCTAGAATTCAAAAGGCCACAGAGTCTCTGCGCACCTTCCACCCAGCAGCTGATCCGTGCTTTGATGAGTTTGTGCTGGACACGTCACGAGAGGAGACGCTGCTCAAGGAGATGTGCTTCGGTGGAGGTAAACCCAAACAACTTCAATATAACCAATGAATGCTGTCCGTTCAGAAAGTGTAAATATTTCTCCAAGATAGAAGGGTATATTAATCTGTCCAGGTGCTAATCTGGGTTGGGTTAAAAATATAACTACAAGTACAATTATGACACACGTGCAGATGGAACTACATGAAATTGCTTTGCTCCTATGTTAATAACTCCTTTCATTGCTTTTGCAAACAAGCGCCATCATTATCTATTTCAAAAGCATCATTTGCATCCGTTTCTTTCACGGCCTTGTATAAACAGAGATGTAACAATGCAGACATGATTATATTTGGCAGATATGTGGAACATGAGTCGTGTGTGGACAAGTTAATCGTGGAGGTTGTGTGTGTGCCAAATGTTCAGATTTCAAGGGGGTCCCCACTAAGCATGGTCTAAAGGGGATTCTTGAATCCCCTGTTGTAGTGCTGCATGCGGCCCTTTCAGCACGGAACCATAATGCTCAGAGTGAAAGGGAAAAATCTACACAGTTAAGTGGAAACACTGTATGCTTGCTAAAGACTTGGTCAGTCCATAATATTGTGGCAGCCTTCAACCAAAACTGAAGATTTCCTAATGCTTCCTAATATCTGGTTAACGTATAACAGCTGTTGAAAGGTCATGTCCTTAAAAATGTTTTTACTGCCTTTTAGTTTTTATCTCCACCAAAATGCCTCAGTGCTCAACCCCAAAAAGGACAAATAAATCCCAAATATTGTAAGCTTGAAATATAGTGTAAACTTATGCTTAGGTTCATTGCTTATGGGACCCAACAATGCTTTTAGCCTCCACTCAAAGAAAGGCCGAGCTGTCTGCTGTAATTGAATAAGGTCCTAATGGATGATCATTCAGCACAGGGACCATTGCAGGAGGCAAAGCCTTTTAGACACAAGCACAAAGCCTGAAATGACAAGTTTCATTATACCTGATTACCTCATATGGATTGTTGCATGAAGATACATTTGTGCATTGTACATTGAAAAACATGCAGAGTAGATCCTCCACTGTAACTTTGCCTATTTGTCTTTTATGTAAATCGACAGTAAAGAAGGAAAGCAGGCGCATGGAGAAGTTGTAATGCACTCCAAAACCACAAACTAAATTAATTTTTTGTGTGCCTATTCTATGCATATTGCTAATCTTATAAAATGCAATTGTTGTTATATACTGTAAGTAATCTGTCTTTACATATAGTGGCTATTAAAGTCAGCCTTATTTTCTCTAGGACAGCTGTGGCTACTGTATTGGCTGATTTACAAACCACTAAGAATGTGACTACATTAACCCTTGTGCAATCCTTGGGTCAAATTGACAATGTAAAAAATCCCCTACATTTTTTATTTAGAGTTGAATTTTTATGACTTTCCCTAGCTGGACCAGCCCTCGTTCATTTAGACCCTTTTAGAACCTAATTTAGGGTATTTCATTTCTACTTTTAATCACTGTCGCGGGGTTCATTTTGTCCCGAAGATAGAATTTTTTTAAGCCACTGGAAAAACATTTCTACATTTTCTTAGTACTCAAACCTTTCCTCATCGTTGGTCTTCTGTGAAATGTGGTTCAAACTGTATTTTCTACACTTTGAAACCTTGGGACCCTTCCTTTTAGAGGGCACCTTGATCTTGAAGAAGTAACCTCCATGATTATTTAATGTTATTCACCCTCTATCTAGAAGAAGTCGGAAATGAAGACCCATTTAGTCTTGGAAGCCATTGGGGAATATGGACAGCATAAGAAAAGACAAGGAAGCTCTTTTTAAGAATATTATATTGTATACAGACTGACAGCAAGTGAAGAAAAAGTAGATTTTTGTATAATGTTCATACAGTCATGGGCCAAGCACACAATTCAGACACTTGGAATTTTTAAGAATATTAGAAATAATTGGGCATGGGTCCGATTATTTTGTTTTTTGTAATCATTGTACCTCCGTTCCAGTTCCAGACCCTCCTCTGATCGACCTGCCCAATAGTCGAGTCTACAACGAAGCTTCCATTCACTGGAGACTTTCTGAAGATAGTTTACCCACAGATCATCATGTACTTGAGTATCGCAGGTATAATGCATATACTGGGATTAATCATTGAAAATTCTTTGAGATGTCATTAATAATTCAATCTGCTTTTTGCTTGTTGTAATGCCCACTGCATGTATATTTATATAAAAAAAAAGAGAAATCCCACTTGTACTTCAACATGTATGTTCTGTTTGTGTAGACTTGGAGGTCAGAGTCCATCTCCCTCTCAGGCGGATGGGGAGGACAGTGGTCTGTGGAAGCCCACCGAGCGAGTTTATGGTGCCAGTGCCCAGGTCTCAGACCTGGAGCCTGACAGCCTGTACTCCTTCAGGGTTCGCAGCTGCAGAAACTCAATGTTCAGCCCCTACAGCCCAGAGGTCTCCTTCCACACCCCACCTGCACCAGGTAAGTCCGGCAAATCTGCATTGTGTTGGGCTGAAGAATTTGTAAAGCCACTACGTAATTGGTTGCATGCTATGGTCACTGCTTTGCTAAACCTGATAATTACAAACACACAGGGAACATGGGATACTGTAAACTGTACATTATTATGGAAGTGCTTATGATTTGGTATGTTAAACCTATGGCTAACAAGGGTGTTTACTTACTGTAGAGCTGGTGGAATCATTTTCAAACTGAAATGAAACAAGACACAGACCCATAATCATTATTCAGAACTCGACTTCTGGGGGTCAGAATGATGCGGGTCAGTTTGTTTGTGCTGGGAGAGTACAGAGCACATTCCTGTGCTCTGTGGTTTATGTAGCACTGTGGATGGACTCTCTGCGTCAGTAATAAGGTGGAATTTCAGGTCAGGGTGAAACGAGAGGGCAGGACGCGCACAAACTCATGAACAGACATGCTCAGCCCTTGGCTGGATGCTATAGGTTACTTTGTTCTGTCACTGAGATTATATTTGCAACTCCTGGGATTAAAATGATGAAATGGAGACTAGAGCATGTACAAAGACCATTGACTTGTGTAAAAGTTGGAGGTTGATTATCTTGATTTAAATGCACGGCCACAGAACAGCTACAAAGTTCATGCCTTCAGTGTTTTGAATAGTTTTCCATACATCATTTTCTTAGACCCTACATGGCTAAAATAATCAATTTACAATCTTGGAAAATGTGTTGCTAATGGATTCTATTCAGGGGTTATTACTTGTGGGTAATTTCCCATTCAAAAGCCAAAATGCATTTGAGTTGGTAACAAGAATTTCAACATATTTGATTCATAATTGGTATTAATTCATATAAATGCTCTTTAAATGTAGTTTTTACCGTCTACATGTAAACATTCGTGCCCCAGATGTTATGTGCCTCTTTGTGCCAATTTTTGTCTTTAATGATTAAAGTAGGGGAATGCTCCATGCTGCAGCTTGTGATTGTATCTAGCCACTTTTTGATACAATACATGTACATATACTGCCCTCTTGTGTGGTGCAAGCAAAACTACATGCTTCCAGTAATGGCTACATATGCTTTTTTTTTTATTTTTTTTTCAGCGTTTGGGTTCCTCTTTAATGATAAGTGTGGCTTCAGCACGGAGCGCCTGGTTCTGAACAAGAGGAGGGATACTGTGGAGAGTGTGGCAGGAATGGGCTTCCTCCTGGCTGCAGATCGGGTCCAGACCGGCAGCTATATTGGACTGGACTACATCATTGGAGACACTGGCATCTCTCAGGGAAGGTAAGCTAGTGCCACATCTGCAGAGAGTTATAATGGTAGAGAATGACTTACAATAACATATCAATGTAGATAATTATTTACTACATAATCCTATGAGGTTACATTATAATAATATTGCTTCTGGTGTTAAAAATGATTAGAAATAAATACTCTTCCCCTTTTAATGGACCTAAACTTGAGTGTTTGGCATGATTTAATGGATTAATCAAAATAGTCTAAAGTATTGCCCTATGTCTTAAGATTGCTTTTTATTTGTTTTGCAGACACTTCTGGGCCTTTAAAGTGGAGCCGTATTCCTTCATGGTTAAAGTCGGTGTGGCATCTGACTCAAAGCTACTGGAATGGTTTCATAATCCTCGAGATACCAGCAGTCCAAGGTAAATAGATTACAACATATGCATTTCATCATTTATAAGTTATCGTTAAAAAAAATCCTTGTGATTCCATATCCCAATAAATGCATTCAATAAATAAAAAAATATTAAAGCCATTTTGATGACCGCAAGTCTGAGTTTCTTCACTTGCCCGACTGCAACATACACATGTTCAGTCGCACCTAATCCTGTGATGTAAGAACTCGTGTAAACCTGTAATGGGCTTATTTGGACAAAGCGTGGCATTCTAGCCAGGTAAGCTGCCGTTCAAGTACACAAGGGGACATGCACCTTCTCTGCAGCGGTGCAATGGTGAAGAACTTCAGTGCAGTAATGGGTGTATTGAGTACAAAACTAAATGTTTCCTATCATTTCGTTTTCTTGCATGATTTCCATGATAATCTTAAAATTCTTGATGCACGTTAAGGAACCTTTAAGTTTTTTCTCTGCTCAGGTACGATCATGACAGTGGACATGACAGCGGCAGTGAGGACACCTGCTATGAGTCGTCCCAGCCCTTCACTCTGCTCACTCTGGGAATGGGCAAAATCTTCATACCCAAAGCCTCCTCTTCCTCTGCGAGCTCTGTGAATGCTGTTGGGGACCATGGCAGCCGGATTCTGCCCATGCCGCACCGCATGGGGGTCTGCATAGATTATGACACTTCCAGAGTTTACTTTTTTGATGCCGACTCGATGAGATGTCTTTATGAGCGGCAAGTAGACTGTTCTGGTACCATGTATCCAGCCTTTGGCCTTATGGGCAGTGGCAAGGTTCAGCTGGAGGAGTTCATTACTGCAAAAAGACTGACATTTTAAAGGGAGTTTGTGGAATAGGGACGCACAACTGTCTGCATGTTCTGCTCTGTTTAATGGACAGGTGTGCCAAGTCCATTAGAATCATAAATGGTCAGTCAGATGGAGCATATAAGCCCAGACCTGACCCTAGCATCTTTACTGCGTGTCAACTTACACAAGTTTGACAATGAGCTGTGGAAGGCCTTCTGTGCAAACCAAAGTCTCTCAGGCAGCTGAAAGCGGCTGGAAATGTAAAGTTGTGTACGCAGTATGTTTAAAAATGTATCTAATTTTAACATGTGTCACCTTTTTTTAAAACTAAACATAAACTCAAAGTATGTGTTTCTAGATTTGTGTGCAATTCTAGTCACATTATGTGATAATCAGTAGTGTTATCTTTATGTAGCCGCATAGGTTTTTAGTGGACCTAATGGAGCCTTGAAGCTGCACTGAAGCTAGCACCTTGGTGCCTTTTTATTTAGGAACCACAGATTACATTTCTTTATATATTTGCTTATAGTTTCAATGCACATATTAGATTGTTCTGTAAAGTCCTTTGGGTAGTTTCACTGGTTTAACTGTTATACACACACTAAAACACTGATCACTTTTCTTGTTTTTGTTTTGCACATTTCCCTACACAGGTTTATCCACTTTCTGCTTAGTTTTATCATGTTGTTTCAGTCATTTTTTCAGAATGCACAAAAATCTTATTCACAAATTATTTTTCACTTGAGTAATGCACTGAGCTGAATGTGACTTTTGGACCAAGATAAATCAATTCTTGTAGCAGATGTTCGACAGTTAACAGCCTCTAAACCTCTATCTGGTGCTGACTCAATCACTTTCTGCCTAATATGTTCAGGTTTACTCTACTCCACACACATTCTGTACTGTAAGCCTCACTAATATGGGAGGTCACATGTTGATGGTCTGTTTATTAAAAACTTTATTTGCGCCCAACTTGATAAGTCAGTTTTTTTCATTCTTGTTATTGCTTCTGTTGTAAGGCCTTTTCCTAACTACCTCTTTATCTTTTGGACAGTGGAAAGCGTTTATCAAAACTAGATGTTTTGCTCTGCAGTTTTCTCAAAGACTTGTTTCAATGTATATATTCTGTTAAATATGTTCCTTTTTATAATATTGATGTTTTAGTTTGTGTGGATTTTAAATGTGCTGCTGTAAACGCATACTGTGTTTTTAATATTCTATCAAACAAGTACGTTTTTTGAATAATTTTTGATGTACTTATTTGAAACTAATTATAATTTTAGTAAATCATTTTACAAAATGTTTTGCCTCATTCTGTTATTTGCTTTGATTTTTGGTCTTGTTTTCAGTGACAACTTGCAACAGCTTCCATCTGATATAAAACTGCACAGGATTTTGCATAGATATTAAAGTAGCCTAATTTTTTTTTTCTTGCACAAGATACAATCTTTGCATACAATACATTTCTTCATGTGCTACGTTTTTGTTGTTGTTGTAATGCACTACATTTCCACGGAGTTCATTTCCGAAGTGCTGCCTTCATTAAACCGGATTAAATATAGCAACGGTGAAAAGCTTGCACTTTACTTGCAGTACAGCTGTTGACATGCAGCATGTATTAAAGATGTGAGTTGAGGGAGGGAGATTCAGTGAGAAATTAAGTGTCTATGTAACTTCTATTATTTCATGTGAATTTTCTTTTTAATAAATGCTTAAAACCAGCTGGAGATGTATTGATATTTGTAGCACATTGGTGGTGTCTGGTTTTAGTGTAATTTGAATGGTACAGTGCACATTATGGTTATTTTTGGTACAGTAGTAAAGGCACGATACTATAAATTTGAGTTATTTACAAATTCAAAGAGCTCAAGGCTCGAGTGAGCATCTGTGCGGAAGCAATTTCACTTACTGACCGTGGTATTATATAACACTCCATGATGTAATGCAAGAATGTAAGGCTGCCTACATGACTGATCTGTCATTGTTTAGAAGTATTTACTATTTATGACATTACATTATTTTGTTTTGAGAAATCATTTTAAATTGTATAGTGTATGTTTCCTTGTCATCCAAGGCATACCTTAAAAATAATTCACATTTTGAAAGACAAGAATACTTTTGAGGTAGGAGTTCACCAACCATTTTAAATAAGGAAGAACATCACCAAGCATACAAACACACCCCAGACTCATTCGAGGCAATGTGGGTGACACATAGTTCACACTGTACAGCTGCAGGTCCCCTACTGTAGGAACTAGTGTGCCCAGAGGTCTCCCATCTCAAACTAACCAGGCCGTTCACTACCTAGCCTTAAGGGTCTGACAGATTAGCCACATGCAGGTTATCCACTTTTCCTTTTTTAATTTTGTTATCTTGCACACTCTGTGGTATATAACAGGTTATTTTGATTTACAATACATAAGGTGGTTGAGTGCTTCTAGGTGGTTCCAAGTTTCGTTTGGCATCAAAAGGGTTCATCCAATATATTACATAATAAGTACTTCTTAATATGTAGATATGAATCTAGAGTATCTATTTAATTATTTTCCAGTAAAAATATGAAGCTGAGACTGCATACAAAAACATATAAAAAGACCTCCTCCTTGTTCTTACTCGTCCTTTTTATTGATCTTTGAGATATTTCGACCAAAGTGGCATTAGTAGCAAGTAAAAGGTAGTTAATTTCACTTGAATAAACCTGATTTTTTACCAAAGGTCGTTATAAATCACAAGAAATGACAATAAAAGACTGGGAAGGAAAAGTATTTAGGCTGATTTCAGATGCAGCCTGAGCGATGGAGGCAGTGGGCGGTGCACGAGCTGCCGTAACGCGGAAGAGCTCTGAAACGCCCCCGTGCGTCATGAAGGTGTAACATCTGCGACACGCTACCTGCCACTGTCGCAGAACACAAGGCTAAAATCACCATCTGCATATGATTTTGCCTTTGTCTATGGCATAGTATTAGGCAGATTTACCTCTTTCTCCGCTGGTTTCTCTGTGGAGACACGGCAAAAGGAGTGCGCTGCGCTTCGGATCAGGTAAGGCTTGCGCTAGCTTCCCCCCGGCTCTGCTACTATAACACCATCCTGCAATGCCTAACGCAACACAAGTGACCTTTACGAACGAAATCAATACAGAATTTGTAATGACTGATGTTTTCTCTGAATGCTGAAGTAAATGCATTCATACCACACGCTAGCTAAGCAGGCTGCAGTGACGGGATAGACTCGTTGTTGACATCTCGGACACTTGCTGTTCAGATGAAGATGCGCCAAGATCATGTTTTGATGAGGTTAACATAATTATGACATTGCAAGTAATTGCTATATGATCCATTATTCTTGGATCATAAGCCATAGTCTTATTGTATTACATAAGACTATGGCTTAGGATGCACCTTACATAGAGAACAGTTCCATGATTTAAAGTACAATAATTTTAATGACACGTGTAATTGATTGTATTATTACCTAGGTTATCTTAATTTTATTGCTAAAATACTAAAAGAAGCTACTTGTTGAGATGTCTGCTGCTTAAACGCGGGGTACCTAACTTTGTGCCAACAGAAAGAGTCCCGTAAAAGTAAAATGATGTGAATAAATCAGACCACATTATCAGTAAGAATTATCTTTTGCTTACTTGTGAACTGATTGGCTGAATGAGGGTGGTCCTCTCTTTTAACTTTTCTTCCCGGAACAGCAAGATGTGACTGAGGCCTAGTTTTAGAGCCAGGAACTACAGTTGGATGGATTGTTTTTCATATTCAATTGTATGTGGTTTGAAAATTAAGCAACCCAGCTTTAGGTTCTTCTTCTGTTCACTAACACGTATAAGTTTTATTTTTTCTGCATGAGAATATCATAGAAATAAAGACCTCTATGGAGTTCTGCTCTTTTGCCAGGTTTTTTTTCTCATTGTGATGAAATTGATTCTACTTGTAAAATGGGAAATTCCCTGTTATTGATACTCCCAAGTGCACCTCATATTGAGTATCAAGCATCCATAAAGCATGTGCTGCATGAAGGAGATATATATTACAAAAATGAATATGAGTGTATGTGTGTGTGTATATTATGTATGTACGTGTGTGTGCGTATGTATGTGTGTATATATATATATATATATATATATATACATATTTAATACCTTTTTGTGTTTTCATATTTTGTTTAATTTTATTTAATTTTATTATTATTATTATTATTTTTATTATTTGTACTATTATATTAATTATTATGTTTTTGTATTTTGTATTTTATGTAATCCTTTCTTTGCATTAGAAATGTTGCCTTGTGAGGTTTTCTGTTTTGTTTTTTTATATTATGACATTCTCCTTGAATTGTAAAGGCAAAAACTCAAAAATAAAGTATAAAAAAAAAAGCATCCATGAAGTAACAGCATAATGATCACTTGGAACATATTCTTTTCTAATAAATAAAACAAATGAATACATCCTGACCTGAATTGATAATAAGAGGTTGTCTGGGCAGAAAAATTATTGATGATATAGTAGTAGTAGATTTATAGAAATGGACGAACAGTTTAATCAAAGTACCCATTTATAATTCTAACACGCTTTCTCTCAGTGAGTGTTTAATCAACTATTGATCATTATTGTTTGCTACATTTACTAAATCCATACATAATTCCTTGTTGTGGCACTAATCATAGTTACTTGTCATGGCAGCTGAAGGACCATCAAAGTATATTTTTCAAGAAAGTACTTGGTGATGTATTACACATGTAAATACAATTGTTCCCTAAATACTGAAAGAGGAACACTTGACAGTCAACTGAAAAATGTCACAAATATTTGTAATGCAAAAAATACATTTACTAAATAAACCTAATTATCATATTTGTTTTTATTGAAACGTCTTTGCATTATCCGAGAGTCCGTTTGTAAAAACAAAAACAGAGGTGTTTGGTCTAATCTTCTTTTAACTAGTCTGAGGATGTGTCCTAATGCCTCCTGTCTGAGCCTAGTCACATTGAGACAGCATTAGAACAGAGCTGAGGATTGTGCTGTCCACAAATCTAACTAAGCTTTCTGAAAATTAAATTCATTTTAATAACTTTACTCATTTTAATAAAATGGTAAAACCAAGAGATTTTGTATTCATATCAATATGGCAAATCGCCAACACAGTTTTTAGGGAGGTGTACCGCATTATTTTTCAAACAACATAGTGTTTACTCAATTAACTAATTTTCCAATTTTCGACAGATGAGAATCTGCTTTGTCCATTCCCCTCAAACATGTATCTGTTGTATTATTATTATATTTAAAGTTTGAAATTAAGGATTACTAACTTTCCTGACTAAGTATTTTCTTGGGGGATTGAAAAGCCCCAGTATGTAGCATTTTAAAAACATGTTTCACTGTTTTTTTGGAATTAAGGAGGGCTCTCTCCATTAGGGGAGGTTAGATTAATAATAATATTATTTAAATGTGATGCAATATCAATTCATAACTTAAAATAAAACATTTTTTATGTTTATATAAAAACAAATTTTGGTTGATTTTGATTTTTTTCAATCTTTTTTTTATTCAATTGGAGCGTTGGATAATGGGTCAAGAGCCTTCTTTTACTGAGCGTGAATTGTTATAGTATTGTTTAGAAATGCGTTGTATTTGTTTTTATTTGTTTAATTGGATGGGACTGTGCGTATTCAGGAACAGCAGGAGCTTGTGGCTATGTAGCTAATTTGCAATTATTGTATCAAATTGAATTGTATTGACAGGCACCGAAAGATTCTCACTCTCCTCTGTCCTTTGTTTTAAATATATTATTTCATATTTTCTTTAAAATCAAAGTTTTTAAAGAAAACAAATCTTTATGATTTTAAAGGCTGTGGTTTTTTTATTTCTATATCCATGAAATGTGGAAGTAGGTTGTAAAACTTAACATGTTCCTCCTCGCTCTCTTAGTATCTACTGTAAATTGAATGCTCAATGTGGCAAACCTAAAACACTAAATTTGATTTCGAAATGCTAATACAATCCATGCTACAATTTTTTTTGATTCGATCACCCGCATGCCTTTTTACCACATCTTGGATCAGTTTTCTTCAGACAGAAAAGAGACTAGTATGCTAAAGATAACATGTTTTCTAATAAGATGCAGACACTATATTGTTGTCTGTCTTTTGCAAGTTTCTCTTTTGCGACAAAAAGTGTGTTATTTGTTAAACAGAAAAGTCAGGTGCTAGGGCTGGGTATCTTTTTGTGTTTGCCAATACACATAGCACATCCCTCTTTGCTAACCCAGCTTTGATTTATAACCACATGTATATAGATTTTGAACAGTGTTTGTTTTTTATGCCATAGCTTCCTGATGGGTGAATCCGGCCGGCGCTCCACGCTCGTGTCGCGGCTGCCCATCTTCAGACGCAGCAGCAGTAAACGGCAGGACTCTCTCCCCTCGTCTCCGTCCTCTGGGGGTCTTGGGAATGGAGTCCACACCTCCTCCCCCTCCAGCACCAACTCCAGCTCGGGCAGCACTGGCAAGCGACGCAGCCTCTTCCGCACCCCTTCCCTCGGCTTTTCATCCAAAAAGAACTCTGACCCTCGAGATCAGAACTTAAACCTCACCTCTGCTCCGTCCGTGGCAGCAGACACCAATGGGAACAGCCAGAGCAATGTCCCCACGTCGGTGTCCTCGTCAGGGTTCAGTGAGGGGGGTGGCAGGTCCAAAAACCGTCACTCGTTTGGGTTTGGCAGTCACAGGCAAAAGAAGATCACACGCTCACAAACAGAAGATTTTGACAAGGCTTCCTCCTCATCCTCATCAACAGGTTGGAATATAACAAAACAAGTGCTACATCTAGGATGTTATCTGTGTTAACATTTTGATTCTGTGCTCAATTAGTTTATACACTTTATAAACAAAGTGTGTTCAAATCACAATCAACAGAATGTAAAACTTGTAAAATTCAAAGGCTTCTATAATACCTTATCTATTACAATCCAACACTGTAGTTTAGACAAAAAACGTCAAGCTTGACTTTACTTTGATAATTCGCAGAAGATATGTTCCGTGTTAAAATCTTGTTGGGTTCAGAAATGTAAACCTATTTTTTTTAAATTAAAAGATCACATAAAAAAATACAGAAAGAAATACTCCAATATAGTATTCTCACATTTTTCTTTTAAATCTACATTTTATGTTATTCTCTTTTAATGTTTTAACTTACCTTTTATTTACCAAGAAAATCCCATTGAGAGTAATAGTCTTGGCCAAAAAGCACATTAAGATGACATTAGGATGATGCATAAAAGACACACATGAAATAAAACTGTTACAAAAGCTCTGTTTCCACTTAAAGGTACTTTGTATAATTTCTACTGTTGCTCCAAATGAAAAAAACATGTTATCAATAACCAATGTGACCTTTCTTTTTTTTTTAGAATATTTACCTCCACCTTGTTTTTAATTGTTGTCATAGACTTAGAATTTGACCTATAAATGGCCATGAGAGCTGGAAGATGCTCCAGGTCAATGCGACATTTTGAAATACACTGGTTGACGAGGGACAAAAAGGATGCAAGATTCGGGTTCTCGTTTCACAGGTGCTTCTGATATTGTTGCGCGCGCTTGCAGCTTCAGAACGCGGAGCGCAACATATCCTTCGCAGCACTTGTAGTAACAAAAGACTGCAATATATGATCTCAAGACTAGATGGGAGTAAAATCTACAGTGTACCTTTTAAAACCATTTTAAAGTGATTTTCTGCAGTTTGTCAGAAAGAGAGACAGAGAGGTGCTTGATTTGAAAAAAACAACGCAAGCTCCCTCCCCCTTCCTTTCTGATTGGTCTACGCCTACGTTTCCGTAACACTTTTAAATGTTAATCAGAAAACACATTATACATATACATTATTAATACACATGCACGGAGGTTTTCAGAATTATTTGTTTACGTTTTAATGAAAAAAATAATGTTTTTATGCACAAAAAAAGCGATCGCGGAAAACCCGGAAGAAGCTATTTTCATGAATTGCACATTATAGGACACATCTGCAGAGGATCTGATTATGGATATAGGTTCAGTATATAAATGAGTAACTCAGCGCGCATGTTCAGAATTCTTTGTTCAGTTTCCATGTAGTTCCAGAGCCTAATAGAGGCTTGATTCGGAGGTTCCGCAAAAACTGAGCATGCGTGCAGCTACCAGCATCAGCGCCGATATGATTGACAGCCCTTGGCATGACTCGATTGGTTAACTTCAACATCATCGTGGATTCTGAGCTATAGCTAAGAGAAGGGAAGGCGGGACTTGCCCGTAATATTAGAATTCATAAAATGACTTATTTTTATATCAACGTTTAAGGCCAGGAGGTCAATTTAACACATTTCCTAAAATTTGTAATTCATTTAGAGTTACAGACTGTCACTTTAAGGATAAAACCTCAGTGAGCCTCTGGCCTATTTGTTACATGTTTTAAGCACAAAGAGCTTTTTCCCTGCTCTGAGAGGGCAACATCTCAAAAACACAAAAGAGGTTGAAGTCATGGTCTTGACCTAGTTCCGAACTGCTCATAATAGGTTGGCCTGTAAGATGTTAGATGGACAAGTAGCAAAGGCGAAGAATCAATGAAATAAGGAATACCAGACTGTATACTTAGTATATGGACATATTTTATGTTGAACACATGGATACAGACATCAGGCTTGGGCAGCGCATGCGACCTGTCTCTTATATTAGTGCGGAAGTTCCTTTTGTAAACTTTTACAAACACCAGGGCGGGTTGCCAAGTTATTTTAGCTAAAGGTTCTTTTATAGAAACCAGCTTGAATTGCCCCCATCTTCAGCGCTTGTCCTCCTTGTCACGTTGTATGTGATGTATGTTCATGTTTTAGCTCCTGGAAGACACTGGTAGACCCAATATGATCTAGGGTGAATTCCTATGTAGCTCTCAGCCCAGACTTCTGACACAAAAATACATTCTTACAATCGTGTATTCCTGAGACATACTATGGCACATGGTTAAATCTTTTAGAAATGACAAACAAGCCAATTTTTCATCTCACAACAAGCTTATAATCATTTCCTTTATCACACTCCACAGGAAACCGAAATGTATTCATCAATTGCATCAGTGGCTCTGGAGTGAACGAGGGCGACGACTCAGGCTTCATGGACGACTACAGCGGCGCCAGTAACAACAACAAGCGCTCCTCACGTCAGAAGAAACAACTCCTGCCCAAGTCCTTCTCCTCTCACCATCGCTTCTCCAGGACCACAGACCACCACCGACCCCCAGAGGTGACTCTGGAGGCCACCAACTCCATCACTCTCACCCCAGGGTCCTGGCCTGGGGAGCTGACGTGTGCCGGTGGGGAGAGCTCGCTTCAGTCGCCCATAATTTCAGAAGACCGAACCACAGCTATCACCCCTTCAGAGTTCCACCCGATCACGGAGGATTCTGTGTCTGATTCTGTGGATGCTCTGCCTACACCAAGCCCCGTGCCAGCACTGCCCCCCACACCTGAACCCATCTCTGGGCCAGACGCCAATGATCCTGCCCCTGACCCTCCACCTGCTCCAGAGAACAATAATACAGCCACCTCCATCTCTCAAGTTAGTAATTCAAACCTTTTTTCAACAAAAGAACACACACGCATGTCCAAGACATCAATATACAATGATACAAATTTTAAATTTGTGCAAAACAACAAAAAGTCTATTTAAGTCTATCCACAGGACTGCTTCAGATGTGATGGTAGCCACTTTTTGTTATATTAATTAGCAGCTTAAATAGTTGCAGGATTTTCACCTAATCTATAGAATGGTTCTTTTTTAGTAATGGAACTGTGCCTCTTGTTGGAGATCTGCTCTAAGAATGCTTGTTTGGGACCAGGCACCCAATTCAATTGTAGTGTCACCGAAAATGTAGAGAGGGCACCACACAGATGGTCTTAGGCTCATAAGTGAGAATTTATCTAGTTTGCATTAAAATGTCAAAAAAATTGAACAGAATATGTAGAGAGCACTATAAGAATCATATAGTGCTATGGTGTTTAGTTGTACTTTAATAACTTCAATAACTTGTATGACAAAGTACTCCCAGGTTGTTCTATTGCCTTCAGATGCAACATGAACAGTATGTTTTGAACAATAACTTCAGGTGTTTTTTTGGTAATGCTTCATGCCTAAAACTAATACTTTATTGTGCAAGTTATGATACTATTGGGTACATTTCTATTCACCATATGCTGATGATTATACACACATTTACACACATTTACGCACATACATAAATTGTATAATCCAAAATTTCTTTTTGTAGGTTTTCTTTAGTCCTGTCCAATCAAGCGCTGAGAAGCCTTTACCTGCAGACACCAGCACGGCCAACAACACTGACTATGAGACGGCTGTGTCTCTGTCTGAGCCGGAGACCGCAGTTCTCTGTCTGCCTCTGAAAGAACAGACACCGGAGGAAAGAAGAGAAAGGGAGGAGGAGAGGAAGGAGGCGAGGGAGGAGGTATGGAAAAGACAGATGGGGAATGAAGAAAAGTGTTGGGTAGATACGAGGCTTGTTTCATTTCATTTAGTTTCGTTCAGGCTAGGTTTAAACTGTATTACCTCACTTTATTTTTGTATTTATTACAAAAATTCATGCCATATCCATGCAGTGCATTGGGATATACATCCTTTTGAAGAAACCGTTGCGCAGATTTCTGCTGGCATGTCATTTTATTTTAGATTGATTTTTGTGAAACAAGGAAGATAATTTGTTTCGGGACCAGATTGTGACCAATCACAGCGGACCACTGGGCCCCACTTTCTTGAGAAAAGCTACAGGTCTCTCGTTAGCACAGACAGCTGAGGTAAACAAGCGGTGGAGGCTAACCTGAAACTTCCTGTGTCTTCGTTACCGGTTTCTGCTTACACAGCGAAACAGCCATCCAAAAGAAAGTCTCGTTTCTCCGTGCTTTGCTGTTCTATCATTCTATGGCCACGCAATCCACGTGCAAATGTGCGATCCATATTGTGAGATGTGAGCTCCGTAAACAATTAGCACATCAGCAGAGGCTGAAGGGGAGGGGTAGTTGGGGGGGCCAGCGCTCACATTCGAAAATTTCACAAAGTCAGTTAGTGCAGCTTTACTATGGTTACATTTACCTAACAAGAACATTTTAAGTTGAGAGGTAATTTTTCAAACCAAAAATAAAAAACTGTTTATACTTTTACTCTCATCTCTTTTAGCTCAGGAATACCTACGGTATGCTGTTGTGTGCGCTTCATTCATTCTGAGCTGCACTTGTGACATTTAGTCTGGTGTAAGCCAGGCTTCTTATCAGATATTGTTCACAATACTTTCCATGCAAGTTCTCTTTGCGGATTAATTATGTTTGTGTGTATAAACTACATTTACTTTCTCATTATAGATAGGTAGGTGTTGCCCATGTTTTGTTTGAATAAATTAATATTTATACACCCACTTTAAAATGTGTTGCCAGGTCTCAGTGGAGGAGCAGAAAGAAGTGAGAGGCAAGAGAGTGGCTTACAACACGGAGACCAGTGACAGTGATCTGTGTGTGGTCCGGAGTGAAGGATCCGTCCCGGAGCGGAGGACTAGGACCACGCGATCGTTTCAGGAGCCCAGAGGAAGCTTCTGTGGCTGCCACGAAACCAGGCAGGCCCACCTCAGGAAGCCTCATGCAGGTGAGGGCCCACTCTCATTTATCTTACCTCACCACCACAGTCATGGACAAGGCAGGAGCTCCCTTCAGAAGGTCTGAGGTTATGAAAATATGGTAAGTTCTCATAGTCAGACTAGGGCTGGGCAATATATATACACTTGTTTTTCCTTTTTTATAAATGAATATATTTTAAAACAAAATATTCATTTTTTTACGGATATTAATAATGCACAGTTTTTACTTGGAGTTTGTGGCTTTGCCTGTTTTTCTCTCTGACTGACTTCTGCTCCCTTGCTGTGTGGGAAAAGTTGCCAGGCCCCACATGTTTTAGGGCAACTTTGGGATACTATTTGGCAAAGGCAGAAACAAAAACAAGCCTGAAGCAATGTTTCATTTGGATATATTTTTAAGAAGAACTTTTATTTACAGTACTTTTCATACAGGACGGTGTGTCAATGCTGTATACATTTTTAATACTTAGTCTTCTTATGTTCAGTAAGCTGAATCTACAGACATTTGTCTTTTTTTTTTCCACCACTGTCTTGTCAGCTGTCAGTTTTTGGTTCTGTCTTACAACCCCCATAGGCAACAACAGCACCATCTGCAGTCCGACTTCTTCATGGCAGAATCTCAACCCACATGACCTCCTCTGAGCTCCTCACACCCTTGGAGTTGTTCACACTAAACACTAAACTTGTCTGTCTGGTTCAGACGCCTTAATGCAAAAGTGCTGTTAGACTGGGTGGAGGGAGAACATGGGAGAAAAATGTGTATTGTGTAGGTTCACATGTTTTAGAATCTTGTGCCATAATTGCACATGTATTGCACAGGCTTTAAGTTTATGAATACAATTACTTTAATCCACAAAGTTTGAAGACATTTGAAATGGTCAGTTCCTGTGTCCTGGACAGACCCTGAAATCACAGTTGTGACAGTGGCTCAGTTGGTAGAGCAATGGCCTTTGAGCCCACTGATGTCTGCTGTCGTTGTGTCCGTGGACAAGACACTTCACCCACTTTGCCTATAAGGAGCGCGGAAGTGATGTTTGCTGCTTGCCTTGGTGTGTATTAGGGTTTAATATTTTTCCCGAAAATGAGACGTTTCAAATGGACATGTAATGTAACTGGATATCATACATTACTTGGGCTAAAAACAACAACTATTTCCCGGGATTTCCCGGGAAAGGCATTGTCTGTTGTTGTTGTTTTTAGCCCAAGTAATGTATGATATCCAGTGTTGGATACGTTACTTTGAAAAAGTAATTAGTTATAGTTACTAGTTACTTCTCCCAAAAAGTAACTGAGTTACTAACGGAGTTACTCCACTATAAAAGTAACTAGTTACCAGTAAAAGTAACTATTGCGTTACTTTTTCGTTTTGTTCTGGAACATAATGTGCACTCGACGTGCGCAGTTTTACCTTTAACCTCAGTGAGTCTGAAATAGTGCTGAGATTTCCATCTAGAAAAGGCTGTTTTGCTGCTGAAGTCCTGTTCACTCTCCATCTCTCTCTGTGCTGTAAGCACTAAACACCAACACCCTCCACTGTGAATGTGGAAACACCGGTGAAGCACTGACTTCAGCCCAATCAGATGAACATATAGATCATATAAATCAAGTGGACAATTTGTTTGGCTACAGCAAAATATGTTTCATGCCCGCATTGTTTGTTCATACAAAACGCAAAACTATGAGTTATGGGTCTTACCTTATAAATGACCTGCACAGGCCACTTCAGTTCTGACCAGTTCTGTGTTTAAGTCCAGATAATAGTTAGATATAGTCCAGATAATAGAGCGTAGATATGAATCCTCCATTTGTAAATGAGTCCAATGAGTTTTAAAAAGTAAAACAAAACGCGTGTCTCCTCCATAAACTCCTCTGTTTTGCTGCAGCCGGCTGCATCCAATTTCTAAAATCAACCGTCTTACACTTCACCTCTCTTTCTTATCATTCCTATAGTCATTGACAAATTACCCTAAGTGCATTTTAAATTATCTTAAAATGTGTTATATGTATGTTAGCCAAACCTGTTGCTGTCCTTAGCAGATAAACCAGGAAGAGAAAGGAGCTTATCGATGAAATTGTATGCAGCCGACTTCTGCGCTCACATGCGCTCCTCTGAGGCCTCACGGTGATACAAGCCGTGGTTGAGCGCAATTAAGACCCATATTTGTTTCAAAATCACAATTTATGAGCCATCCTCTCAACTGTAGACATGTGGATTGTAAAGGAAATATGTTTTACATCAGCCAATAACATCTGAGAGGTTTTCTCATCCTTCTCTCATGACAACACGCGCACGAGTCCTATCACGAAGTAAAAAGAGAAGTTCATTGTGCGTCTTTAGTAACGCGCAGTAACGGGATGTCGGAAATGATAACGGCGTTATAGTTACAGTCAAAGTAATTAGTTAGATTACTCGTTACTGAAAAAAGTAACGGCGTTACTAACGCCGTTATTCCCATCACTGATGATATCACTCAAATATATAATTCATCAAAAGCTGCCGGCTCCGCTAGTGTTTCACCAAGCGACTTGCTAGCTTTTCTAAAGTAGCCATAGCGTTTCCAGACGTTTTGTTGATGGGCTTTCTTCAGGAATTTCACTATGCTGAGATTGTCTGCGCAATCCACTTATCGACCGGTGACGTGCGTGTGGTTTGGAGGCACTGACTTCAGCCTAATCAGATGAACATATCACATATATCAACAGGACCTACAGAGGCTTATTCATAATTAGTTTGGCAGAATATGTTCCATGCCCGCATTGTTTGCTCATTCAAAACCCAAAGGTTCGTAAAAAGCACATTTCAGAGTGCCTTACCTTAGTTATTAATGAACTGCACAGACCACTTCAGTTCAGACAAGTTGAAGTTCAGATAATAGTTTGAGCGCAGATATGTAATCCTCCATTTGAAAATAAGTCCAAAGAGTTTTAAAAAGTAAAACAAAACGGGTGTCTCCTCCATAAACTCCTGTGTTTTTGCTGCAGCCGGCTCTCGGGTGCATGCAATTTCTAATATCATCCTTCTTACTCTTCACCTCTCTTCCTTCTCATTCATATCGTCATTGGAAGTAAAACATTACCCTAAATATATTTTAAATGATCTTAAAATGTGTTATCTGTATGTTAGCCAAACCTGTTGCTGCCCTTAGCAGATGAAAAAAAGAAAAGAGCTTTCTGATAGAATTGGATGTAGCCGAATTCTGGGCTCACATACAGTACGCCCCGCACCCTGAGGCTGGCCTCAATTGGTGATATTACAAGCTGTGGTTTAGCACGATTAAGACCCATATTTATTGTCAAAAACGCAATTTATGAGCCATCCTCTCAGCTGTAGACATGTTGATTGTAAATGAAATATGTTTGAACTTTGAACAACAATAAACGCGCACTATAAAAGGAGCGCACAGGATTTTTTTTTTTTTTTCAACTTTCATTTCCTGTTTCCCGTCATAACATTTCCCGGGAATCTGGAAATAGTTTTAATCAGCTATCCCGGGAATCCCGTGTCTCGGGATTAAACCCTAGTGTGTATGTGTATATGTGCATGTTTATGCATCAAACTAAAATTTTCCCATTGTGGGATGAATAATGGACCTTCATCTTCTTCTAATTATAGTGGAGAGAACGGAGGGTTTGGGTACAAAATCGTGACATTGTATTTAAAATATTCTGATATTAAATTGGTTGGAAAATATGTACTACTTACCCAATATAATTTATTACAATACAATTTATTTTTTATAGCCCTAAATCTCAACAAAAGTAATCTCAGAGGACTTAACAGAACCTTTGAAATAACCAACACAGATCAGATAATCAACTGTTAAGACACATGTGTATTATACTGTATGTATTGGTCCATATGGAGAGACCAATGTCTATGAACGTTGATAAATGTCCATACATGTTGTAGAATGTGTCCTGGATCATCACCAGTCCTTTTTGTTAGACACTAACTGTCCAACAGACCCTCCTTCATCGGAAAGGAAATATCTGAAACCCATTGGGGATAAAAAGTGAGAAACCTCAAAGAGATTTACATTGAGAGAGGGATCCGCTCCACATGGACGGACGGATAGATCCAGGACCTAAGCTGGGATCAGGGCCATGCAGAGGCCGCAGAATGTGGACAGGTCCGTTGCAGGACTGAAGCAATTCCCAGGCGGGTCGGGCTGGACAGTCTGAAGGTGACAAGCAAATTAAATACAATTATAGATTACTTTCACCGGTGTACCAAACCCTTTAATTTATATCAATTAGCCATATTATGCTAATAGGACCAGATTCTTTGCCTGCCGGTCTTAGTTGACATTTTGAGTTTGTCGTCTCATGACCATTTCCTAAAACACTTAACTCTTTCTGTATCCTTTCTCCCTTGTTCAGGTTCTGTGTGCAGCAGCGTGAGCCCATTCCATGGCGTGATGAGGCTGGAGAGACGGCTGCGCTCGTCCTCTGAAGGTGCGGGGGGGCCTCATATCCAGGGAAACGTACGGGACATCAATGGCCTGGATGGATGTGGGCTGGTCAAACACAGGCACAACTCCTCCTCATCCAAACTGGGGAGTCTGGTACGTCGCCATCCAGTTTACTTTTGTTGAACATAATATGCCCTGAAGTTTCCATTTGTAATTTGCCTGGCCTTTAGGCTTTTCATTTCTTAGACTAGTTTTAAAGTAATTATCTCTCTCTATCATTTTATCATGGTCTTTAACAATAAAGATCATGTAAACGAGGAGATAACTTGTAGATCTGCGCCTACAGACGTAGTTCTAGTCCTTAAAAAAATGGGGTGATCCAGATTATTTCAATCCATTCCATTCAATTCTCTCTTAACTTCCTGACTGAGTTACAAGTCTCTCATGTTGGTTTGCCCGTAAACCTCATCATCTGCAGCACATGATTAGTCAGTGCACTGCTCAGTACTCTACTGTCCTTTGAAACCAGTAATAGCACAAACTATTGCCATGTCCACACGTAGCCGGGTATTTTTAAAGTGGACATATCGTGTTTTCAAATAATTGATTTTTACATCAAAATTATTCATTTGTGGCCTATATAAAGCGTAACTGCAATGCCTGGGTCTGAGTCTCATTATTTGTAGCTCCACGGGTCTTTCTTCTACACCTGTTGTGAGGTGCGTCTGAGAGCAACCTGTTTTGGTGCTGTCTCTTTAAATGCAAAGGAGGCGCTTTTGACCCCCCCCCCCCCATCCAGGTGACAGAGGTTCAACTCCACCCAGAGCGGCCATTTCCGTAGTTTCTAAGCACAGATACAATTATCTCATAGAAACTTCTCATTACATCGCAAACATGAAGCAGGCCTTCCTCATTGACTGAAAGCAAATGTTCATTTTCATTCTTAGTCTACGTCGCAGGATATGACACACTATGTTGACAGAAATGTTTAAATTGAGTATTACTTATGCACAATTTTACAGCAATTAAAAACGTTAAGAACGTTTTTCCTTCTACAGAAGGAAAGAGACGCATGCGCCTCCGGTTGCCGACTCCTAGTTTATACAGTATGTGGAAGCAAATACTGTAGAGGATCAGGATATGTGCAGTTTCAACAATAAAATAAAATGCAATAGTCTACATTACAAGAGAGTAATGAACATGTCTCAGAGTGAAGGAGGTGGACACAGACAACACCCCTGTTACAGGGATGAGAATTGGTCAAAAAAGACTGAAATGCATATTGTCAGCCATTTGCTGGCTCTAAATCTGTTTAATTTGTTCACAACATATTACTTTTGGGCTCAAACATGAACTTTTAATGCAATGCAAAATGTAGGTATCAGAGCTTTATTTAGGACGCTCACAGCCTCTCGCAGCCGCTGGACGCGGAAGCTGCTCATTACAAAGCGGCCGCAGATGCCCCGGAACACTGCGGCCGCTGAGGTGGCGGAATCCCGTTCGAGTTCATACAGCAGGTGCCCCGCGGATACGCGCGCCCCGCTCGAACAATTCTCAACGGATTTACACTTCTCATAAACATGTGTTTTGTATGAGGCCGACAGACCGGCCCAAATATGGGCATCGGCCCTTTGGGCCCTGTGCCCTGTGCGCTGGCATCCTTGAGCTTGGACTACAAATTCGAAGTGATGCACAGTAGAGGAGGGCTGGGCCGAAGTGTTTTGTTAGACGCCCATGCCCTTATATAGCAGTCTCGCTGCAAATACTGTGACGTAATAATTCTAAACACGTAATAGAGAATGGCAAAATCAGAACGGGTTGAAAAATCTTACCTAAACAGAATATGAAGTGTTCTCTGCAACCCATGAAGAGACTGATTTAAACTTTTTTGTACTTCTAGAGGCTCCAACTTCACAACATAAGGCATTTAAGGATTTTTCATGATATGTCCCCTTTAAAACTGAATATTTCCCCCCCCCCCCGTTTATAAAATATTTTGCATCTACACATAACCGAACATCTGCGTTTTCATCCACATTCTTAACATTCCAGACATGTGAGTCCTCTGGCGTCCTGTCCTGCGTTGGGGAAAAAACCACAGAAGTGGGCGGAGCTTTGATGCTGACGCCGGTGTTCTGTCGAGTTGGTCTGCCCGTCGAGATGATCTGGCTCAGCTGTTAATGCAAACCTGCGCATGCGCGTCTCACGGCAGCCGAAGCAATCCAAGATGGAATTGCTTTAAAAGTTAAATACCAACGAATTAAGACACGAATGTCACTTTTAATGCAATTTGAGGCGAGATGTTGATGGTTCCGCGTTGTGATTTGTGTGTTTTAAGAGTAAGAGTTTCGTGTAAAGTTTGTTTTAAGCAGTCCACTGCTCCTGTGAAACCACACTGCTGCTGTGTGATCGCAGTCCCTGAGTTGACTGCTGCATACGTCAGGCCCATGACGCGTCCTGTGACTGGTCTGTCAGGTTGATAATGGAAATAATACATAACATTTTATACATGTATCATACTGTATTCAATATGATTAACAATAGTGTGTTCAAACAAAATATTTAATTAGATCGAGTTTTTCCCCATTCTGGCGGGTTTCTGCGCATGCGCAAGTCAGATTTGGGCACACTAGCAGTGTAGTGTCACAGGATCAGTGGACTGCTTAAAACAAACTTTACACAAAACTTACTCTAAAAACCCTCTAAAAAAAGTGACATTCGTGTCTTAATTCGTTCGTATTTGCTGCGAACCGCTCGCAGCAGCGAACAGTTTTTAAGGCAGTAAGATCCATGCTTCCTCAGTGATCAGAGGTCGCATGTTTTGTTTGTTGTTGTTTTGGGGGCATACTGTGACGTGCGAAAACGCAAAACTCTGGTTATCTCTGTCTACACGCACCTGCATTAAACCTTTTCAAAAATCTCCACTTTTCCCAGAGGTTTTTTATATATTCGTTTATGGTGCGTTGTCATGTGGATGACAGGTGCAAACGAAGAAAAATATTTGCGGTTTAGCAGATAGCCGGGGCCTATGTTTTACACACACTCCCTTTAACAGATAATTTGTCTGTTTGGCATGCCCTGTACCAGTATTTTATTATTCAGGTAATTAAGACAATCAATATTTCAATCATATTAATTTAATTAATTTACAGTACTCGCAGTTAGTCAGTTAATCTTTGCAGCCCTCCTGTCCCATTTATGAACCACAGCACTGTACTGCTGCGTTCATATCCACATACAATAAAACAAATATGTTTCGATATATTTTGCAAGGAGGTTTCCTAAATACTTTTATTTATGTGAACCCAAATGTAGCTGAGACAACGAGACTCATCTTTAGCCAATTGAAACTCTTGGAGTGAGAAATTGTAACTCTTGGAGTGAGAAAAGCCAGGTGCTGCATAGTGATGATACAAATGATAGCAATTCTTTGTTGCATTTACAAGAGCCAGGAAGGGCCAATAACTTTACATGTTTTTCTTGATTGTCTTTCTTCAATGGATGTTATTTTAATGGGCCTTTGGTGAACTGTAACTTGTTTTTCATGAGCCTGCATATTCAGTCTCATCACAAAATGCGCTATGACACTTCTGAATTTAGATTACTTCTGCAGAGAATTATAGCGGACATGAAAACAATACATTTCTCCTTCCTCTGCCAAAAATATTGACCAGACAGTCACTTTTTTATTGTGTGTTTTTGAAAAGGGCAGCAAAACCGTAAAGTGATTGATTGCCTTAACTCTTTTAAATGGAAACGACCACAGCCGACCATAACGCTATCCCTGTTCCATGTGGATAAAAATGGAAATGCTGCTTTAAAAAGATATCATTACCGGTAATGGAATTTGTTGGGGTTTGTGTTTGACATCGGTACAAGAAAGATGCTCCGATTTTGCTAATCACAGCTACTAACAATATTGAAAGTTTATTAAAAAGAATAATACCAAAACATGCACATACATTCTCAGAGAAGGGGGAGGCTTCTTTAGTACACTTTTCTTCAATTAAACACTTCTTTGTATTTGTTGTCTACTTGCCATTTTAGATGCCACTGAAAATGCCAGTGGCAGATATTTTGGCAGATGCCACTGATCAGCTGACAAATGACGGTGCCACAAAAGGAGCCTGCCCTTACTGCATTTTCATGCTTAGTTGGAAATAACTATTGTGACACGTTTGTAATGATATTTATTCTGATTATTGAATTCAGTAGGGGGATTATTGTATTTTTAATAGGTGTATATTTCCTTTGGCCCATGAAATGAAGTATTTTGTTCAAAAGTTTGGATTTTTAAAAAGTATGAAATAAATAGACTTATCAATATGAAGAAAACATGGATCCACTGCAGGGAACCAATGTCTGTTTTGACATAGCTGGGAGTCAACCCACATTATCGAAGCTTCCTATATATGGTTTAAGACTCCTAATGTATTGAAATGTGATGCAGTCCCACGTCCAAATGCTGTCCCTTTGTGAAGCTGTTGCCAAAAACCCAACACCAACCAGAGCTGCTTTGGGAATAAGGTTTATAAACACTGCATAGGGGCCTCTTGTATATACGTGTGTGTCACCGCCTTGGATCTATTATAATATCTGGAGATGGTATTACTAGCTTATAGCTGAGGACCCATCAGCTCAAGAGCTTCCTGCGGTACTGTAGACTAAATAAGACTAACCCTAATTTCACGTGGGCTACCCTCAGACATTCTCCCCATAGAACTCAATGTAAACTAAAACAGCTTGACCTCAGCTTACAGAACTTACAGCTTTCATAAAAGTCAAATTTTGTGGGGATTTTAGTGTCCCTTGTCATCCTGAACCTTTTTCTTGTTACATCCATTGGTTTTCTTTAAATTTACGCTTTAGTGCAACAAATTCTGCTTGTTTTTGTTCCACTCTGCTCTGATCAGCAGCTCTGATTGGTAAGAACATGGCCGTGCCCCTCTGTGCACGTGCATGAGAGACAAACAGTCCACTGCGCAGAACTGGGAGGACCTGAGAAATACCCAAGTATGGGCAAGTTCCGCTAATCTATCGGTGCCCATGGTGGCACATGCGCTACTTGGCACAAGCCATTAATTTGAATACGCCTCCATCTTGAATTGCTGGGTCTCGATCACCCCCATGACTCTCTCCAGTTGCAAGATGGGGCCCTTATTTTTTCACCTTTGAAATTGACAACCATTTTTATTTTCAGTTGTAATGCATTGTACACTGGATGTGGAATGCTTCACATTTCCTAAAGTTGGTGTGTTTCAGAGTAAAATTCCCAGACTTGTATTTTTTTCCATGGTGCATTACATAATATATAATGTGTTCACTGATCGTAAACAATACAATGGAAATTACTTTTCATTAGAGGCTGAATCTAAAGCCTTGGAGCCCATTGATTTACCTGTAGACATATCCACTCTCTCACGCTCCCACAGTGATGTAGAGGTGTGGCTGAAATAATACTGGAGGTCACTAAGCATTGAGGCTCTTGTTCAGAGAGCAAGGAGATCAATGCAGACTCTGCGGTGAGCCTTTTTATCTCCAAACAATTGTAAAGTGAAGAGAGCGGCCATTGCAGTACTGAGTGATCCTTAAGTATTTTGTTTATTTTAGAGCGACTTGGCAAAAAATCCCATCGAGAGAAAATGGGAGTGGAATAGAGGACGTTAACCGTGAGCTGGCTGAGTGCTATTGGGCACTCAGCCAGTGTAATTCACCTGCATTTGAAATGCAGTATGCGTTAGTTTAAAAATCTTGTCTAGACGGATCAATAACATGAAGTAAACATGTATTATTGTACATCTTTAAGGCATTTATGAATGTGTTATTTAGCAATCAAAAATCTTTTCTTGCTAAAGTCTATCTGATATTAAAGCCAAATCGGAACATTCTCCATGACAATAGTTTTATACCATACAATGCAAATCTATAGGCGTGCTTTTATATAATTTGTGGTGTGTTTTCTACTTTTTTAAACTAAAAAAATCAGATTAAGGCTTTGACATTAAAAAAGCATAGTTTTCACTTTTCCCACTAGATGGCAGCAATACAATATGAATCGCTGCTACACAGAGAGGTTTGACAGTGGCTCGTTCTGTCATTTTAAAAAGAGAAACCATTAGCTGACTATGAACTGCTGCTATTTTCAATCTTTAAATTGTCTTACATCATGTATAACCTATAATAAAGTTGAAAGTGCACTATTTATTCTTGTCTGTGTCTATGGAAATTTGTATCCTTCTCAAGAATGTTCTGCAGCGCTGATGTCCTAGTACACTGTACCGTCACCGTGCATACAGTACTGTGGCTGCAATGTGTCTGTAATGTGTTTTTTGTTCACAATGCCTTGGAATAGTCAGGGAACACTCCCATTCTGTATCTTTGCCCGTTCCTCCAAATTATGTCATTTCTAAGCCCTTTGATTGAAGTGAAAAACAAGTGGTAAATCAAGAATTATATGTTGGTGACCACTGCTCCAATTCTGTCAAACTTGGTTACACACGTCATGGACACACTGAACTTTCCAAACAGTTTGTGAACAATGGACAAGGCTTTCAACATGTACACAGATTGCTTGCAGCCAATTGTTGGATGAAAATTGCACCTAAACATTGGACATCATAGTTCTTGAAAAAAGGTGCATCGCCTCCTCCTCAAATGGAGGAGAAACTATTTCTGTGTCTTGTTCCAGAGTGAGGGATGAATAGAGTGTAAGCTTGACAGACAGGCCAGTGCAGCTTTATTGGACTGTTGTGATGAAGAGGGAGCAGTGTCTGCAGTCAGAGCTGTATCAGACTGTTGTGGTGAAGAGGGAGCTGAGCTGAAAGGCATTTGCTGGTCAATCTACCTTCCCCCTTCACCTATGGTCATGAGCTTAAAGGAAAGGCCAAAAGAACAAAATCGCAGATTCATGCGTTTCTTCCACAGAGCGGCTGGGCGCTCTCTTATACAGTAGGTTGAGGAGGTCAGAAACACGGGAGGAGTTCAGAGTGGAGCTACTGCTTAGGGTTAGAAGCCAGTTCAGGTGGGTCAGCCATCTGTTTTGGATATCTCCTGGACGCCTCCCTGGGAGGAGACCCATGGGAAGACCCAGGACAGCCTCAGCTGGGCTGGGAGCGCCTCGGATTCTTTTTGACTAAACTCTGAGATCCAACAAGAGCTCCGGCAACAGACAACCGATAAAGCGAAAGAAAATAGCAAGTGCCCATAGGAGTGTGAGTTGGTACTGTAGGGAGTTGGACTAATGGTCATGAGATCGAGAAGGACCAGGGTTTACAGTTGATGAGAAGAACACCGTATATGATGGAAGTCAGTGAAGCTGTTTTAAAGACTGTAGTTGTCTTAAGAATAGCTGTTTATTTGTTTAAGAAACTCAAGAAATAATTTGTCAAATGTGGAACCTCATTAAATTCAGTGCATTTAACTTCTATTTTTCAGGACGTTCTCAACAACCTTGGCTCGTCAGAGCTTGACGAGGATGATTTGATGTTGGACTTGGAGCTGTCGGATGATCAGAGGCATCGACATGGTAAATTTGAAATAAAAAAAAATGCAATTCTTCTTTGCTCGAAAATGAAATTGGGATTTAATTATGCTGTATTAAATGTTTGCAATCTGCCATCTTCATGAAACTCAACTGAAGCAGCATACAAAATGTTATAACTGAACAAAATGCACATGTTTTGATGTTTTTAGATTTTGGTGCCATGGAGTTCATGCACCAAAATCTTCTTAAAATACAATGAATTAAATCTTATTCACAATTACATGTGGCTCATTGTGGTACTAATAGCAAAAAATGATATAAATTCCAGACTGGTCATCTCCAGAATGTCTGTTCACTGGGCCATATTTGTGCACATTGAGTCAGACAAACACTGTTGGCGGCACGGTGGCTGAGTGGATAGCACTCTCGCCTCTCAGCAAGAAGGTCCTGGGTTCGAATCCCGGTTGGACCAGGGCCTTGCTGAGTGGAGTTTGCATGTTCTCCCCGTGTCTGCGTAGGTTTTCTCCGGGTGCTCCGGTTTCCCCTACCACTAAAAATATGTACAATAGGTCTGGCATGTGCCTCCTGTACTGGCGACCCCCACTCCCAAAAATCACAATTGTAAACCGCTTTGAGACTCCGATGTGCAGTGAAAAGGCGGTATATAAATAAAAGGTTACTTACTTACTGTTGATCAATTTACCGCATGCGTGGTGCTTGAACCTTTCCACATTTCTTCACGTTATGATCGCAAACACATTTTTTGGTGAATGACCAAAGTGGTAAACAAAGTCAAATGTATAATACATACGCTGCATGTCTCTATAAGCTTGAGACCAACAAGGTCCAGTTCTGCTTTGCAAAACTGCTTTATCACATTATACAGGGAATTTCTGTAGTTCTTGACTTTGAGGCTGCAATACCACTTCAACATACAGTATTCAAGTTCATTGACTGCACATTTTCAGGCCACTGCATATTAGACACATACTTTTCACTGTAGACTAATAGTTTAATGATATAGTTAAACTATTGTTTAACTAATAGTTAAATGATTATGATTAATAATATGTTTTGTCAGTTAGTTCAAATTATATTTTTCAATTCACTTAACCCAGAGCAATAATCTTTGATATGAGTGTGTATTTCACTGTTCACTTTGCAAATTCAAGCACAAATGGCTGGTTTCGCTGGTCCCTGCAAATGTGGAATCGACATTTCTTGACTGATATACAAACTGTTGGTGGTGGTGAGACATGAATCCACTATTATCCACTATTATTGATATTTTCAGAGTAGATTATCCACTCAAAAAGAAGGTGAAATCCAGTATTTCAGTTCTAGTGAGAGAAACTACATACTGTTCCTTTTAGATTTTTCTTAAAAATCTTGTATAATTTTCTAAAACAATTCTAACATTTGTTTTGCAAAAAACCTGTCCTCTCAGTTGAATCAGGAGAAATATGTTCAGCTCAGATGCAATGAACTTCAACATTGACAGTATACTCTTTCAAGCCGTTTGGCTCACCTTGTCATCAGGAAATTGCTGTGCAGACTGCAGCTTAAATTAAAGGTGTGATGGACGGCTCTCATAAAGTCTGGGGACTGGACTTTGTGCTGAGTGTGGAACAGGAGGGTTTTTCCTCTGGCTCAATAATGAAGCTGCTAATTAAAAGACTTCAGCACACAAACACGTCTGCAAGACAGACGTAGATCATTTGTAAGTTTCACAACAAATATTTGTTCATAGAAAAACTGAAATATTTGAGAATGTTGGTGAAAATTGTTTAAAAGTTGATTTACCTGTAATTCAACTTAAATTGGCTAGTCAGCAAATGCCATAGACTCATTGAAAGTGACATATGCCAAGCCTTTGTTTGTTATCATTTCAATTAATATTGCTTTGTCCATTTTCCATGTTTTTATTTGGGGTTTTTTACAAGTTATGAGTCACAAGTATCAACTTTTTAATAATTCAAACAGTTTAATATAAAAATATTTTTGAAGGTAAAGAGAAAAGCGAACAGTTTGATGGAAGTAAGTTTAAACTTTTTAATTAAACTGTCTTTAACTCTACACCTACTTGATCAGTGACTCTGGAGACAGACAGACGGGGACCTTTTAAACACATTTGTTGAAATGTCAAATCACTGCAACATCTCACTGTGTAGAATACAAATCCTTCAAATGATATTTATTTAAACATTTATTGTTTTCATTAATGTATATTATTTTATAATTATACCTATTAGTATAGCGATGAACAAGAGTTCAAATTACTTTGTATCCCTGATGCAAATTCAACCTGTGAATTTTAAACGGTTTTAATTTACTGTTTTTAGTAGTAAATGTTGTCCTTTTGAAAAAGGCAACTGTCTGTTCACTATTTCAAAGACAATGCATTTCCTCTCATAACTAGTATTTTATTGTTTGATATATTAATTTATATATTTTACAAAAAAAATCCCAATAGAAAAAAATTACACCCAGCCCTTAAATACAAAAAAATATATCTGCTGTCAGACAGTAAGGACGAATAGAATTGGATCAATAAAACAAGTCAACTAAATATGTATATTACAAAGCAAAGGGTTAGGGTTAGGGTTATTGCACAGTTACAGATGGATGATCAAGAAATAGGTTTTCAAACCTCCTAAAAATACCTTTCTGAACCTCTCAATTATTATTTTTGTCTCCAATTTAAGATTAATTAACACATCTTTGATCCAAATGGAAAGTGTGGAAGGAGCAGCATCTTTCCATTTCAACAGAATCAAGCGTCGCGCCAGTTACTGTTGAAAAGGCAATACGTTTGTGACCCCCTGAGGGTAGAACTAAATCATTCACATCGACCCCAAAAAAACCCAATATAGGATTAAATGGTATTGCAGTTTTAAATATGTAAGAGAATACTTCACATACGCCAACCAAAAACTGTTGTATTTTGGGGCAAGATATGCGGGGTTCATAATTTAGTGTTTTAAAGTCTATACAAACAACTTTTAGCCTGACCAGACAGATGCCCCTTCTTTCTGTGAAAAAGAAATACTGCCTGGATGGTCACATCCAACAATTTCAAAAGGATTTACTTACCGCGGGGTAGATATACTTTCACACAATATATACAGATGGAATCCAGCATCTGCGGCATCTGCTTTGACCGCCTTTTTGTTTGTATTAAACCATTAGATAGAAAAGGAAACTCTGTTCTCTAATTTGTTGATGTCCTCTGTCAATCACGGCCACCGGTAAACAGCCAGAGCATGCACATATTGTATAAAAAAATTGAATTCAGATGAGATAAAAGATCCTTTATTTGTCCTGCTGTGTGGATATTCGAATGTTGCAGCGTACACAACCATTGTAAGAGCACATGGGGAGCACACAAAATATACAATATAAGTAGCTTCTATTTTTCTTAGCTAGCTGTAAATGCTAGCTAGTTTTGATACATCTCGCTATATATACAGTAGGGCAAAAAGGTATTTAGTGAACCACCAATTGTGCAAGCTCTCCCACTTAAAAAGATGAGAGAGGCCTGTAATTTTCATCATATGTATACCTCAACAATGACAGAATGAGAAAAAAAAAAATCCAGAAAATCATTGCCTGATTTTTAAAGAATGTATTTGCAAATCATAGTGGGAAAAAAGTATTTGGTCACCTACAAACAAGCAAGATTTCTGGCTCTCACAGACCTATAACTCCTTCTTTAAGGGGCTCCGCTGTCCTCCACTCCTTACCTGTATTAATGGCACCTGTTTGAACTTGTTTTCGGTAGGAAAGACACCTGTCCACAACCTCAAGCAGTCACACTCCAAAATCCACTATGGCCAAGACCAAAGAGCTGTCAAAGGACACCAGAAACTAAATTGTAGACCTGCACTAGGCTGGGAAGACTGAATCTGCATTAGGTAAGCAGCTTGGTGTGAACAAATCAACTGTCGGAGAAAATGGAACACATACAAGACCACTCATAATCTCCCTTGATCTGGGGCTCCAAGGAAGATCTCACCCCATGGGGTCAAAATGATCACAAGAACAGTGAGCAAAAATCTCAGAACCACATGGAGGGACCTAGAGAATGACCTGCAGAGAAGTGGGACCAAAGTGACAAAGGTTACCATCAGTAATACACGACGCCACCAGGGACTCAAATCCTGCAGTGCCAGATGTGTCCCCTGCTTAAGCCAATACATGTCCAGGCCTGTCTGAAGTTTGCTAGAGAGCGTTGGATGATCCAGAAGAGGATTGGGAGAATGTCATATGGTCAGATGGAACCAAAATAGAATTTTTTGGTAAAAACTCAACTCGTGTTTGGAGGAGAAAGGAGGCTGAGTTGTACCATGCCTACTGTGAAGCATGGAGGCGGAAACATGCTTTGGGGCTGTTTATCTGCAAATGGACCAGGACAACTGATCAGTGTAAAGGAAAGAATGGAGGCATGTATACTGAGATTTCGAATGGAAACCTCCTCCCATCAGCAACGTGGCTGCATTTCAAGGTCCTGTAGAAGCCTAGCCAGTCTCCAGATCTCAACCAAATCTTTGGAGGGAGTTGAAAGTCCATCTTGCCCCGCGTCAACCCCAATACGTCCAATAACAGTGGACGTATTGGGGATGCTGGTGTTGTTAACAATAACAATACCAGCAACAGTATGTGATAACCTTGTGAAGACTTACAGAAAATGTTTGAGCTCTGTCATTGCCAACAAAGGATATATTACAAAGTTTTGAGATGAACTTTTCTCATTGACCAAATACTCATTTTCCACCATAATTTGCAAATGTATATAACTTTGCACTACATACAGTGGGGCAAAAAAGTATTTAGTATTTATCTTGCTCAACGATGAGCACAAAAATCTGGAAAATCACGTCTGATTATTTTGCTCATTTTGTTTCTCATCGTTGAGCAAGATAAATACTAAATACTTTTTTGCCCCACTGTATGTAGTGCAAAGGTATATATATTTATGGAAGAATAAGTAGATAAAGTGACATTATCTTCTTAATAATGTCACTTGGTCACAATGACAATACTGTCATTACAGTGTTGCACATGATTACAGTATTTACTATTTGCAGATGAATCACATGTACAGGCTCAGCAGTACTCATTGCACAGTCTGACAGCAGCAGGAAGAAAAGACTTGCGGAACCTGTCATTCACACAGCGATAAAATGTTTAAACAACTGTAACACTGATGTATTCATCTTTTTAAATTGTGAATAAGTAGCAGTTTTATTCTTGTCTGAATACAAAATGCTTGTTATTTTTGTGTGTCCAGTATCCCGGGAAAACTCCAGTCAGTCGTTGGCCTCGTGCCTGAACCTGCTGCACTCGCCCCTGGATCCGTCTGGAGAGCGCATCTTGGGCAGGGAGCACAGCCACAGGTAACGCTGTTCTCAGTTAAATAAACGCATTCACATAAGTTATATATGTTCAGATAAGTAACTGCTCCTTATAACATTAAATTGTCGAAGTTGAATAAACTAATAAAATAACTTCTCAAAAAAAGAAGCCTATTGTAAGGGTCTTTATACCATTTGTATTTTGGATGACAATAAAAGCTGCCCTTTGCTAAAAAAAAGCTCCCATTATGAGACAGGGAGATTGTGCAAGCGGAGATTAAGAGAATGGTGATAAAAAAATCTCCCAAATTTACCATTTATTATCCTTTGGATCTCCCCTTTTTGTCAAAGTTGACTTAGAATTACAGTGGTCTGAAAAATTATCTGAAGCATTTGGAATTTCTCACATTTCTGCATAAAATGTGATCTGATCTTTTTGAAAAAGACACAGATGAAAAAAATATGTACTGTTTATTACATTCTTTTTTTTTATATTAAAATAACATACAAACAATGAAAGAAGGGGGAGGAAATAATTGAACCCTCTGCCTAGGAAGATGTATGTAGATGTCAGGTGTGTGTCCAATCACTGAGCAGTGGCCTAAAGCTGCCCTTCCCACTATATACACACTACTTGTGTGTCTTGATGAGAAGTTAATTGACCTCTGTGAACCATGCCTTGCTAAAAAGATTTCTATACAGTTGGGAAAAGGTTACAGAACCATCTCTAAAAGTCTGGATGTTCATCAATCCACAGTGACAGAAACGGTCTACAAACAGAGATAGATTGGCTCTGGTTTTGTCTCTTCCAGGGAGTGGCTGTCCACCAAAAACAATGCCCATGGGTTCAGCGATGAGTACTCAGAGATAACAATGAGCCCTAGAGTGTCTGCAGAAGATTTACAGAACATAACATAAATGCTAATATGAAGCAGGGTTTGGCCTCAGGTTATTTTAATGTTCCATAGTTCGCTTTTCTTCATCTTTCAGTCCATCCTATGCACATGTTTTATAGTAATTTGGGTGGTATACAACACTCAAAACTTGTCAATTTATAGTTTTTTCATGCAAATAGTTGATGTCACCTCCTTGGATCTGTGCTCCAAGCGAGGAAAGCAATCAGTGAAAGCTAACTGTACAGGTTTTGCTGTTAGTCATTTCAGAACTGAGAATAAACTTTTCCAACAATGGCAACCCATCACGTCAAGCCATCACGTCAAGCCCTATGTCCTCGATCCAGAATCAGACCCTAATTGTTTAGTTCACTGTGATATACGGCGAGTTAGTTGCGTTGTACTCACAGACACGGCTGTGATAACACCGGGTTTCCAGATCAGCTTTTTGAGTTGGTCCCGTTTCAAGGTAACCATAGTTCTGGAACAGTCTTAAATGTCATTGTCACAGAATAACATCTGCGAGTTTTGTGCCGAATTTGAGGCAGATCCCCGTGAATAAACTCGATCCCCATTCGCCTCATTCTCCGTCTTCGGGCCAAATACTGTCGTCACATACAGTATTTACACAAACAACACATTTTCTCCAAGTTCACATGAAGCGAACACAAAAAATAACAGGCACATATTTACTGTCTATGGACCACACGCTGGTGCACGTCATGATTAGAAACGGCTCGTTTCTGTGCTTCTCGAGAATGAAAGAGAAAGATCGCTCTCTAATTAACGCTTGATGAAATCAATGAAAAAACTACTCTGGGCATGTGTATGAAGGCCAAATAGCACTGTAATCATGTTTAAACCAGAGAAAGTCAAAAAGCGTAATATGGCACTTTTAATGTTTCTAAAAATGTAATAATATTGTTAAAATTGTATACCTTATAACCCATATATTCAAGGCTTTATTTAACCACCTGCCACCATAGCCTGACTGGCCTGACTCTCGCCAGACCCTTGTTGTTCCGCCATGCTCCACCAGAGACGTTTGGCTGAACACAAGGATCTGGGATCGAGCGCAACGCAAACTCCTTCAGGAGAAAAAAAAAAAAAAAGCCAATCAAGATCGCCGATGTAATGTTGGGTTTGCACTGCCTTCTCGTGCGTGTCTTACGCGGCAGCCAAAACTAATCAAGATGGCGGCAATAAAGTCCGCCAATTTATAAAAAATTACGGTTTAACAACGAACAAATTAAGACGAATGTCACTTTTAATGCAATTTAGGACAAGATGTTGATGGTTCCATGTTGTTATATTTGTAAAGTTTGGTTTAAGTACTGGTTCTAGTGCTCCTCTCACAACACTACGCAACAGGGTTGCCAGGTTGGGTGGTGTCCTGCATACTTTTGTTCCAAGAGACTTGTAGGTAATGAATAAAGACAATAAACAGAATCATAATAGCCCAAGTGGATTGCATTACGTTTTTAGCCAAAACATTATTCTGGGTGTTTTTTACAATTCTGAAATTCTACACGGGTCTGGCGAGTCAGGCTACATTATAACAACATATTGACTACTCATCAAGTATTTGTGATGACAGAGAATTATATTGCAATACATACAAGCATGTTTGCTTGTATTTAATCACTTGTCTCTTTGAACGTTGTGTCTTTTTTCCTCTGCTCAGTGGTGCAGTCCTTAGTTTGCTCTGTGCTTGATTTTATGGAGACACAGGGTAATAAAGGAGTTGTATCAGTCGCCTTTTGTCAGGTAACAATTATTGCCTCAGGTCTTAGTACATCTTTATGTGGCTTGAATTGCTTCAAGTTGCGTTTTATCTTCTGTAAGGAAAAAAACGTGTGTGGTTTAATTCTATGAATGGTCCATTATTGATCTTTCTCTAAAGACACCACATCTGTGTGGGGAGTGCCTCCTTTTTACTATTTCCGTAATCGGATGCAATCTATGGGAAAGGTGTTTGATTTTGGTAAAAAATTCACATAATGGCAAAAATGTATAATGTCACTGTTTCGAAAAATCAAACTGTACTTTAAATTTTCCATACAATCATTTAGAAATTGCCACTTTATGTAGAGCAGTAGTAGTAGTAGTAGTAGTATCAGTAAGATATAGTCTACAGATTGAAAATGCTGAAATTAAAAATGCTTTAAAAGCAAATCAATGTTGGGACTTTTAATAGTATAAATATTATGGATGGACAAATCCTTACTGCTCCTGACCGATTGCCGGTCTCAATCAAAAGTGTCCTGGTTCTGGCCACTTGAATGAATGAATTTTACTAGGGCTGTCAAACGATTAAAGTTTTTTAATCACATAGTAATGGTGAGTTGACTCACGATTAATCACATTTTTAACATTCTATTTCAAATCCATTCCAATTGAAGTTAAATGAGATTATCAAATGTAATGACACATTGTCATTCATACCGAATGTACTTAAATCTGTTTGATTCGCTCACAACCTTTTACTTTTGGGCACAACCAACATGAGCTGTTAATGTTAGAGATAATGTAAATACCTCAACTTTAATTATTTGCGTTCAGAAGGAGACACGGACACTTCCTGAGGCTCCATAAAGTAAACAACAGCAAGTGCCCCGCGGCCACTGTGAAGTACGACTGAGAAACACTTGCTCCTGTTCTCTCTGTAGGCAGCTTCTTTCCACAAGCTGTTATCAGGCACTTTAAATGCTCTTGCACTTGTATTGAAACTGTTTTATTTTCAGTGTCAATTGTGTTTTATTTAGTCCTGTACTTTAAATATTGTTTTATTTATGCACACTGGACACTTTTGCAAATGTATTCCAATGTGGTTTTACTGCATTTGGCAAATAAAATGAATCTGGATCTGAGTAGAAATTGCAGAAAAAAACACTTTTGGCCCTGTTCACATTTCTACGCAGCCCCAGGACCCTTTCCAGCAATTAATCTCAAACCGATATTTTGCTTAATTAAATTAGTCAGGAGGCTGTGCTACTATGGCATGTTAAAAAGTTATTAATAATAACTTTCTCTTCACTAAATGTTCACAAAGAAAAGATTGGATTTTATCATAAATGTATTCTGAAGTGGTTTTGAAAAATTAATATAAACATTGTGAACGTGAATAGTAGAGTTTCTACATTTGGCATTGCTACAAAAAACGTATTTGCCAACATAACTTTCTCATTTGAGATAGATTTTGGGATACGTGTACTTTAACTCAGATTACGTTGTCATTTTCCTCAATCTGTATTCATCCCACACTGATTTGAGGCACAGTTTCAGTGTCTAGACATTGTCAGTGAAACAAGCGAGAGAAGGAAAACTTCAGTCTTTACAAATGAAATGCTGCATACTGGAGCAGTGACTTCATCTCCCTGAACCTTTTTTAAGCTTATAACTGTTAAGAATATAGATGATTATATATCAATTGTTTTGTATTATGTTGGAATGTCACGTTATCAAAATATAATGGTACAATGTAATTTCAGCAAATCTTTATTGCGCTATTGTGGGAAGGCATGGTTTACTATAAAAAAATACTTTTCAATAGAATCCATTCATGCTTAGATTAATATCATATCCACATGAATAATTTATATACACCATTTTCATAGATTCCATCCAACAGCTTGGTGGATTGAAAAAAAGAAGCTCCAATAACGTCAAATAGATATTAAATTAGTTTTATTGCCATAATGAATGTGACCCACTTTATACTCTCAAGCACTTGAATTATGCCGTGCTCTACAAAATTATTCAACTTTCTTACCAATCTAATCCACTGTTATAAGCCTTTGGAAACATGTTTTTATAGCTTATTATCAATTTCATCAAAACCTTCATGAGTCACTGACTGTGTTGTCTGCAGTGTTCCTTGCAGCATTGTGGTAGAATGACTACCACATTCCTTTGTATTCAAATGTGTACCCTCTCATTTCACAAGAAGTAACAGACAAAAAAAACTACTTTTAAAACATGTGCACAATATATGCTCGTGTTAATATAATACATGCATAGATATTCAAATCAAGACTATAGCAGTAAAACCAAAATATATCCAATATTAGTAAATTGGCAGTGTACTGAGGTCTGAGCTCCTGTTGATAAGTCCATTGTTTGCACAGTAGGCAGAGGATTTGTCCCGAT